TTTTTTTGTGTGTGTAGAAATGAAACGGCTCACACATGAGAAAATGAAGGAAATGGAAGACCTGACGTCCAAACCGGAGCACCCAGACACAGAGAAGTACAGAGCAGCGTTGGAGAAAGGACAGGCAAACTTGGAGAAATATAAAAAGATGGCCATCATGACACAGAACGTCCTCAGGGTAAGTTACACAGCAACAATGTAATAAAATAGATTACAAGACTATGAGATGTTTTAGAGGCGATTCATTTAAAGGACAAAAAAGCAACTGGTGTCTTTGTGTGTTTTTTTTTTTCTCCTCAGGGCATCCTTTTGGCCTTTAAAGTCAACTGGCTGGATGATCCCAAACTTCGAGACATTGTCATGACTCTTGAGGAGTTTCCCATTCATGACTAAATAATTATTAAATTGATCCCATGTACAGGTTTCTGATCAATAATGTCTAATAAACAAAACTGAAAAATATCCGTCTGTTGTGTTTGAGGGCGAACTACCGCTAGAGGGCGACACAACTAGGAAAGAGATGTGAGTCCTGTTTAATGTGTCAGTGAAAAAGAGGAAGACACGTGTTTCCAGAGCTCAGTCAGATGTGCCCTGAAAACCTCTGAATTCTAGCTGACTAACCTCATCAAAATCCCGCAAAGATGCCGAAGGTGAAGGCCGAGAAGAAGAGCAGGCAGCACCAAGAGGTCAAAAACCAAGGTTTGTCTCCGCTGAGTGGCTTAGCTTTAGCATGTTAGCACCTCCGCAGTCAGCTGGACAGAGAGGCGTTCAAAGCCAGGCTGCCCCAAACCTCCGGAACACATTTTCAGCCGGATTTCTAAGAAAATCTCTTTTATTATCCGTACAATAACCTCATCCTCAATCTAGACAAGCCTAAATGGCCAATGTGGAGGCTCTGGTATGCGCAGTGTTTTTATTTAGCTGCTTCAAATGACAAGTTTGGTAGTTATTACATGAGTCAGTTTATCGTGTACACAAACGTCGGATCACACTGAGGGGTTTTAACTCATGTTATGACAGTAATTTTAGGTAGAAATATCAAAGAAGTTGTGTGTTGTGTGCTGCAGGCATCATGTTCAACACTGGCATCGGTCAGCACATCCTGAAGAATCCTCTGGTCGTCAATGGCATAATAGAAAAGGTGAGGCGTTCAGGTCCGGAGAACATTAGCAGAAAAGCCTGTGGGCTTACATCGTTTAAACTAAAAAAACAACTTTAATATTCAACCCAGTGTGGAGGAATGGGGGTTCAGCACCTAAAGTAGGAGGGGAGATTTTTCCTTTGTTTTGAACTCATGGTGTTAGATTTGTATTTGGAAGCTGCCAGCACATGTGACTAAAAGGGAGCTCTTCCCCATTAAGGATATTAATGGATTTGGGGGGGAAAAAGAAGAAAGTAAGCTACATTCAGCTGTACTTTACAAAAAAAAGGTGCTTTGCAAGTCCTCATGTGCGAGCCAAAGTATTTTACAGAAATATTATATGTAAACATAAACAATTAAATTGAGAAGTAAACTCAGACAAAGTGGTCTTAGGCATGTTGAAATATTAATGTAAAAAGTAATAAGAGCAGAAGTCTAAAGTATAAAAAAAATCAAGACTATAACTGAATGAAGTCATTCACTGTTGTTTACAATGTGGCCTTTTCGTCAGGCTGCTCTGAGGCCGACAGATGTGGTTCTGGAGGTGGGACCTGGTACCGGTAACATGACCGTAAAACTCCTGGAAAAAGCCAAAAAGGTGAGCAGCGTCACACTGTGCTGTTTTTGGCCTCCAGGTTCTGGCTTTGGTTGAAAACTTGAGTCACATCAACAGTGTTGCTGCACTGTTTGTTAGCTGTTTTTTTCTTAAAGAAATAATTTGTTTAGGGGAGCATTTGATCGGTGAAAAACCACTGTGCCAAATGAAATGGTGTTTTTGCAGGTGGTGGCCTGTGAGTTGGATTCCAGGTTGGTGGCTGAACTTCAGAAAAGAGTCCAGTGCACGTGAGTGAACGCCGCAGCGCTGTGTTGCAGCACAAGTTTTGGGAATACGGGCGGCAGGCGCATTCAAAGCCAAGATTTGATCTGCTGTAACCCTTGTTCCCACAACAGACCCCTGCAGAGCAAACTTCAGATATTAGTCGGCGACGTGCTGAAAACTGACCTGCCTTTCTTCGACGTCTGTGTGGCTAACTTACCCTACCAGGTAAAGACACCTCAAGCATGAAGAACCGGTCTGGATGAATTTCTTGCTGGTATCTCAAACCACTTTTTTTTTTTCATGCTCGGACAGATTTCGTCACCATTCGTCTTCAAGCTGCTGCTGCACCGGCCGTTCTTCAGGTCAGAAGGCTCCCCGAGGATAAAGATTTATCCATCTTAGGAGAGATTTAGTGTTGAGTTTCTATTTGTGCTTCCATTCTGTCCAGATGTGCTGTGCTGATGTTCCAGAGAGAGTTCGCCATGCGTCTGGTCGCCACACCCGGAGACAAACTGTACTGCAGGCTGTCCATCAACACACAGCTGCTGGCCCGGGTGGACCACCTCATGAAGGTGCTCAGACATTCCGCTCACTCGTGAGTTCCTTCCTTCTCCCGCCGGATCTGCGTTTATTATTCACGTTCTGCTTTCCCTTTACAGGTCGGGAAAAATAATTTCAGGCCTCCTCCCAAGGTGGAGTCGAGCGTTGTCAGGATAGAGCCCAAGAACCCCCCCCCACCGGTCAACTTCCAGGTGAGGTCTGCGAGTTAAAGGCTAAACGCCTCGCACAGAAACGGGAGGTCCCGAGCTCGGCGTTTTCTCTTTTCCTCTGCAGGAGTGGGACGGCCTGGTCAGAATAGCCTTCGTCCGGAAGAACAAAACCCTCAGCGCGGCCTTCAAGTGAGTGGCTGTGGTGCGAACGTCAAACCGCTCGGTCCAGAGGAAAGCGTAACACTCGCCTTCTGTCCCCAGGTCCACCGCGGTGGAGCAGCTTCTGGAGAAGAACTACAGAATTCACTGCTCCCTCCACAGCCTGGTGAGCAGGTCGTTTCCCACCGGGGAAACTCGGCAAGGCGCTTCATTTTGCCGGCCAGCTTTACATCCCACTCTTTCTGCTCCGTCTCCACAGGATGTCCCGCCCGACTTCTGCATCAGCAAGAAAATTGATAGCGTTTTACAGGAGGTTAATTTTAGCGAGAAGCGGGCCAGGTCCATGGACATCGATGACTTCATGGTGTAAGCTGCACTTCCGTATCTGAATGGTCACTGATTCCTTATGGGGGTTTGATTTACTGCTCTGTGTTTAATCCTGGATTTCTCCTTTCTTTGCGCTCAGGCTGCTGCACGCGTTCAACGCCGCTGGAATCCATTTTTCATGAGTGGCGGAAGAGGCCGGGGAGACCCGGCCGCACCACTCCCGCCGTTTGCCGAGAAGCCACCGCTGCATGAATGGCTGATCCCTCTCATCTCCTGCCCAGTTGGAGAAAAGGCTTTTCTGTCGGTACAATTGTAAGGGTGACGTTTGGACACATTGGAGCTGCTCACATTGAGTGCTTCTTAACCTTGGGAAGAGCGGGCAGCGTCGGCCTCTGCCAGATGGACACTTTGAGTAAAAGGAGTCGTCACACATTTTAGGAAATTATACGACTGATCATTGTAATCTACAGGAAGCCAAATGTGGAATTTACGTTATAAAAAACAAAAAAACAATCTCTTTGAAAAAGGTGAGGCCAAACATATGTCTACTACACACTAATGTGTACCTATGAACTTTTAGTCCAAACATGGCCATCAGATTTGATCCAGGTCTGACATAATTATAGCTTTCATTAATATTCTCATTAAATACATGAAGAGTTTTTTTCTTTCTTTCTTTCTTTTTTTTTTTAAACGGTACTAGGCTGAAGCCAATTGGGCTCCGAAGAATGTTTCCTTGCATTTACTGGTGGTGTATCTATGTGAGATGAGCAGGATTCTTTATTGAATGAAATGGTGCGGGAACATGGAAAGGTGTTGAATTAACATCGAACAGGTGGAATGTTACCAGAGAAAACTCCATGACGAGCTGTATGGACCATTAATGAATGAGTTAATCCGTTTATTTTGGTAACCGATTGTCACAGCGGTTCATCAGATTAAACATGAATCTTTTATTACTCCATCCAGCATTACATCCGGTGCAAACACTGAGCAACGTAACCAGTGGCAGGTCAGTCGTCTTCACTATACATTTATTAATATTTTTCTAGTTTCTTTTTTTTATATAACAAAGAGTTAAATGGATGGAAAACATGTTTTACATGAAGTACGAATATTTTAGTCGGTTGCCGCATAAAATGATATGGCGTAAACTGAAACAAACTACGTGTAAAAACCTCTCAGGGACACAAGCAAAAGAAACACAATGGAAAAGAACTGTGGTTTAGGATTTCTTCCGAACTGGTTAAAAGTTTTTGTGGACAGGAGGAGATCACAATGAAATATGACTTCACGACGCCAACTGAGGAGTCCTAAAGCAGTGTAGTACATAGGTTATTACAGAGTGCACATGCAGAAATGTCAGCCAGAGCTACAAGAAATCAAAATACTGTGGAAAACAGTTAAAGATCTCTTCTTAACGCAGGGCAAAAATATCCGGCTAAAAGAGGTATAAACAAGTATAAAAGAAAAATAATTTAAGAACAGGAAAAAGGAACTAAACATTCTTCATTAAAAAAAAAAAACTAAAATGGAAGGAAATAAAAAACATTTCCTATCCTACATTTCCTAAGAGGATTGACGAGCCAGTTCTTTTAGGAGGGCGATCAAAACAAATGCGATTCCTGGAGTCTGTTGGTGGGTCAGACAGTTCTTTAATCGGTGTTTCCCTGCTGCTAGTGACAGCTAGAGTTGTGCCAAACATCTAGTGGTTACGCTTCTGGATGTGCCACTGAAACCTCCTCAGCCTTCAGTCTCTAAAGAGCGCGTGGCCTCTTGGGGTTGATCTGCTTACTGGCTTGCTCCTCCTCTTGAAGCGCAGAACGGAATGACTTCACTTTATCTGTTGACAGCAGAAAAGATGGCTTTGGCTTTACTAAATTCAGAGGCGAACAAATACTGACACAGATAGCAGCAGGACATGGGTTCTGAGTGCAGTGTGCTTGTGCCGCTGCCATACCTCGCAGCTCGGTGAGGATTTCGATTTTCTGGTCTAGGATCTGCTCCAACTGGGTGGCGTAGGACTCCACGTCATAGTCCACCTCTTCCGTCATCTCCAGGAGCACTTTTTCATCCTCCAGCCACCGGATTGACTCCTGCTCAAATAGGAACCAACTCATCAATATCAAATGGAGATCAAAACATTGATTACTGTGCTCTAGAAGTTTCTGTTGCCTGAGAAACACGGGAAGTGTTTCAGGGAGGAGATATGCAAGCGTATGTGTGTGTGTGTGTGTGTTCACCTGGAAAACGGCTCTGTGGTCCTCCAGGACCTGCTCCTCCATCTCTACTAACTGAGAGACTGCCTCGTGGAAGGTGAAGAGCTGGGGGGACACTTCCTCCTCCTGGGAAATATTAGCAGGAAAAACAAGAGGGAAATTACTATGGCAGCTTTGTTTACAGACATCACTGAAATGGTTCATTTTCACTGCACAGTTAACTTAGATTCTTTAAAGTAATATGGTTCTACAGCTCCTCTAGAATTGCCACATTTCCTGCTTAAAAAGCCTGTGAGTGGTGAAGAGGTGATGCTATTGGAGCATATTTCTCCCAGGTCATTTTACTGAAAAGCCAATTTAGTTCATTTTCTTTCTTCTCTGGTTTTCATTGAACAATAATTATTCAAATGTTTCTTCATCCCTCCATAAAAATGCAAGAGGCTGGTCTTCCTGGACTTACATTCTGCTCACAGAGCAGTTTGAGGTCGTCTCTCTGTGGCGACATACTGAGCCAATCTTCATCCAAAAGGTCGAGCTGGCTGACAGCATGGATGTTGGGTCGCCCCCCCTCTATCACCTGGTTGGGGTCTACCGTTAGTTCCTTCACCCTGCAGGCCAAAGGGACACCAGAGGTCCTCCATCAGACAGGTTCAGACTGAAGGTGGAGCTCAAAAGTGAGACAGTGTTGGGAGTACTGAGAGAAATTAGAGTACGGCTTCTTTTATTCCCGTTTAAAAAACGAAACTGCAATGCAAGGATTCAAAATGGAAAGTCTAACTAGTTTCAACTCATCCCAAGAATCTGAAATCATGTCGGAATTGGAATATGTATTACAGGTGGTTCTGTAAATACAGTTTGATAACTACTTGTTCTTGATATTAGTAATAATATCTCAACTTTATTCTTAAGACTTCCATTTACTGACATTTTTTAACTAATAAAAGCGAGTGCGCTTCTCTAATTTTTCATCCTCGGAGTTCCCAACACAGCCTCGTTCACATTGTGTGCGTTATGATGGCATTATGAAAGCAGCGGCGTCATGCAGGGAGAGCAGCTAACTCGTTTACAATCCACAGACCGTCCTCATGCTAGCTGGAGCTGGTGTTTAACGGCGAGCTGATGAGGGATTACAACCATGTCCCCGACCTCCCAGGAGCAGTGCTTATTAATTAGCTTGGACTGTAAGAGGGATTACCTGCTGAGAGTAGGCTCAAACAAACGCTCATCCCAGACAAGTTTTCAACAGCTAAAGTCAGGTTTTGACCCACGAGCTCTCGTTTCGACTTGTCACCTCAAGTATTCACAGCCTCGTGCGGGTGATGCGACAGACTGCATCACACGAGACAAAGGGTCCCACTAAGGAGAGGCTTCTCTCTCACAGCTCAGCAGATGGAACAGCCCGTTAGAGGAGGGGAGAGGAGGGTGAGGAGTGTCACACCGTGCACACGAAGAAGAAAAGAGGGGGGAAAAGAGGCTCTTTCGCAGGGGATGGCAGATGAAGTAATGAAGGATGTAATGAGGCGCATGCACTGTGTGTGGGTCAGTTTGTGTGTTCGGTGTTTTGCTCAGAGAAGTGCTTGACCTGCTGGGGGAGGTAGCAGCAAAGTCATCATACTCAAAGGTATTGGTGGGCGAGTGGTCAGGGCGACTCCCCTGACCGCCCTGGGAGAAGGGGATGTCTGACGGACTAATCCCAAACTCTTTCACCCTGCACGGCGGCAGCAGCCACGCCGGCACACAGAGGAGCGGGGGGAAGGACACGAGAAGGAAACAAAGGCAGGAGGAGAGAGAAGTGAGAGGGAGTAGAAAGAGAGTCAGAGATCTAACCAGAGCAAGCAGAGAAATATACAGTAGAAACTGCTGGATAACTCGGACGAAAGGCTGAAGCCTCTGGGTACTAGAGTGGAACTAAACAAATCTGCAATGGTTCCCTAGGGTCTCTATTTCACAGACATTATCAGAGGGCCAGCAGAAGGTCAGCGCGGTCCCACCTGTTGGCATAGCGCAGCGTGTTGAGGGTATTTTCACAGGACGTCATGCCGGGAGAGATTGTTGCTATCTGTCAGGAGAAGGAGGAAACCCTCTAGTTTAAGACAGACCACTGACATATATCGGCACACGCACAGATCAGAGGTGTGGATGAAAGAACACTGACCATGCATGTACGAGAATTCTCCCCGATGAAGGAGTCTCTCAGGACCTGCGTGAGCTTACTGGCTCTGAACGGAGTGTGGGGCTTGTTACGGCCGAGAGCTCGGATACATTCCTGCAAACAAAAGGGCCGGAGGGAGAGACACATGATGTGGTAAAAGTGTGGGTGAAGGCCATTCGGAATCACAATTCGTCTGTGTTGAAATGCTTAGGCCTAAGGGACCAAGCCACACCGGTCCCTGCTGCTCCTCTTTGCTACCCACAGACCTTGAGGGCCAACAGGCTCTTGTTGATTTCTGCTCCCTCCAGACGGGTCTGCCGGTCGGCGCTGGACGTGTCTGCGCCCCTCTCGTTCCCTGCCAGGTCGATGAGGGAGAACTTCCCGTGCATCTTCCCCTTCCTTCTGAGAATGATTTGAAAAACGGCGTGGCTCCGAGAAGAGTGAGCGTTGGCCGATGTCTGCCCTGATGTTCTGGCAGAGAGATGGGAGAAGTTTAGAAGCAAAACAGCGGTAGGGAGTACGATAGGCTGCTTGTGTTTCACAGGAAATCGATGTATCAGGAGTGTGACCAGGAGCATGTCTACACACATTAGAAGACATTCATGCAGATAATGAAGACATCTGTAATGAAAGAGTGTGTAATTTTCCTTCTAATGAGGAGGATGCTCTCATACCTGCAACTGTTTCCCACTTCAATAAGTTTCAGGACATCCTCTGTGCACTTGACCTCCTTCTCCTGAAGCCCCACAACCTGCACTTGCTGCTTGCCATCCTCCAGCACCCTCAGCTTCGCTTTGCGATTCAGCAGGTCAAACACCTGGCGACGCACACACCGCACGGTCACCGAGGAGTGCTGACCTCGAGGCCGCAGCCAACAAGTAAAGAGCCATCACTTACCTTTCCGCTGTAGATTTCAAAGAAGGTGGCGTACACTTGTAGATCTAACTTCTTGTAGGTGGGTTTCTTCAACATGAGAAATACATCCCGAGCTGCAAAAAAAGAGACCAGAGATCTACTAATTCCACCCTATCAAAACAAACCCTTTAGGAACAGAGTAAACGAACGCAGACCACAAATCGCATATTATTCTCCTACCAGCTAATGCATAAATTCCTTTAGAGCAGTCTTGGTTCTTCCCCGAGAAGTCGCCTCCCATTGTCTAAAGTAAAGTTCACAGTATAGGAGAAGATGCATGATTTTACAGTTTAATAAAACTCTGAAAAGTAACATTTGGTTTGGTTCCATTCATATTTTTCAGTCACATCCAACTCACATGGGTTTTACCACTGCCTGTCTGCCCATAGGCAAAGCAGGTGGCCATACCCCTCTCAAAAATGGTTTCCACGAGAGGTCTGGCAGTAAACCTGCAACACAATGCACTCATTCAATACATACATACATATAGAAATATAAGCCAATAGGCTGGTGTCTTAAATCCAGTAACACGTCAACATTTTTTCAATTAACTGACTAATTTTTTTTTCTTTTCTACATGACTTAATGGAGCATCCAACACAACATCTTTTGCTAAATATTTGTACATTATTGTTCTCCGCTGTTGGCAGGGCCTTTTTCAAATGGTGAGGGCTCAAGCTGTGATTTAATGCAATAACAAAAAGCTTAGAAGACACTAAAGACATTGTTGTTATGGTTATATTACGGACCTATAAACCATCTCGTTGGCTGTGTTGTCATCAAAGGCGTAGTCGAAGCGGAAGGTCTGGTTTTCCAGGTAGCGAGTCAGGTCCACCTTCTGTTTAGGTTCATGGACCATCACCACATCTTTACTAGGAATGGTGATCACATCCAAATCCTTCACGGACAACTCTAGAAACCAGAAGAGGAAAGGTTCCCCCATCACAAATCTGCCTTGGTGGAAAAATAGATCACCACCGTCAAACACGGCCACAGGCATTCTTACCTTTTTTGTTGAGTGGGCGTTTCCTCACACAGACGCATATTCTGTGCTCTTCAATCTTTATAAAGCAATGATGACATTATCACTCAGAGCAATAAACAAAAGACAAAAAATGTTTTTTTAACACACCATGTCAGCTGTGGTCAGAGGCCGGTAGTCGAGGCTGGCTCGGAAATCTCGGATCATGTACATGATCTCATAGTTGGGAATGGTGGTATCCACCTCCTGAAAACGAAGAGCAGAGGCAGTATGAGTTTCTGGAAACTATTCAACAAGCAAAAAGAAAGAAAAAAAAAGTCTGGAATAACATGACTGTACCTGAGCTCTCTTCTCCCTGAGCTCCTGCTGCTGAAGACGCCGTCTTTCTCTTTTCTCCTGCAATTTTTCCACTTCCTTCACACAGTTCGACTTCCTCCTCGCTGCCATTAGAAAGAGAAAAAAAGGATTCCTCTTCTCCTCAAAAGCACACACCAACAGCCTGTCCTTCTTCTCTCTCTCTCTATCTTTCACAATCGGCTTCTTTTACTTCCCAGTTTCTTCCCTCTGGTTACCTTATGGCTACTGGGGCTCCTCCAAACAGAGTGAAACAGAAGCCTCACAGATAATGCGACCACAGATCAGGGCGCAGCGGCTGGCACTCAGTGTCTCCAACAAAACACTGCCCGCTTTATAACCAACAAAAGGCCTTTGCAGTCTGCTCAAAACGGGCCACTCTTCTGTATTTCTTTCATTGGTTTCATCAAACAAATAGAATCGGGATCACTAAAACATGTCACCTGCAATGAAGGCCTCTTTCTCTTTTGCTTAATCTATTTTAAGGCAGAAATGAAAAAAAAAAATATCAATCAGCCAAAAGATTATCCCAAAGCTCCCAGCACCGCACACCCACTCATTAGTTTCGTGTCAACCACACACTATTAGTAACCATTACAGAACACAAGTTAGACAAACGTAAGCCACTTTTGATTCCTTTCAGATGTATGAAAAAACCCTGTATTATCTGATTCGTCCCAGCTTTCCCAGCCTCCCACCAAAAGCCAAGCCAAAAGCCCTGCCACACGGTCCTGGCACCGTGCTGACTCTGGCCCCCGAGAACCCCGACTATCAGAGCAGAGGGATTAAAAATCTGCTCTAATCTGGGAGGAGAAGATGAGCTGGTTCAGCACCAGGACAAGGAAGTATAAGAGGAGGGTGTACCATCACTATTGGGCTATTCAATGTCATAGGGACTCAGTGAAGGAGGGGGTGAGGGTGGGGAGGGGCGACTGGAGGTTTCTGTTCCCCTCTTAGAGCATCAAATATCAGGGAGCACTTAGAAGGAGGTCGTTGTTGCCATCTGAGCAACACACAGTGCAGTGCGACAGGATTTTCCATGTGTGTGTGCCGGTGCGTGACTCAGCAGAAATCACAGCGGGGGAAAAGGCGATGCAGCCAAACAGCAGCATTTTTTTGACTCCCTAATACCCAGAAAGCCTGTCTGCTGGATGGATTGTGTTCCACAACACAGCTCTGATCACAGATGGTGCATGTTTGGATGAACAATCTTCCTGTTAGACTAGGCCCTCTCACGTTCTACTGGGAAATCTAGTAGAATCACCATAGATCACTGAGGGTAGGAGCAACATGCATGTGATACATACACAACTGTCCAAACTCCTTTCTGGATATCAGCTGATGTGAGGATTCTGTGATAAATACGTAAATACGTGATCAACAGAACATGACAGATTAAAACACTGCTGAAATATGCTTCTGTTCCAAGTTTAAAACGTTTAAACCACAAATGCTGCTGGAACGTAAAAAACGATCATTTAGCAACATATTTAGTGGCCAGACGTCTGAATCTAAATGTAGCTCCTCTGCATTACCGTTCTGTAGTTGCTGTTGTGTCTGGGCTTGGGTGGGCTGTGCAGGCTGCTGTACGGGGGGAGGAGGGGCTGGCTCCGGCTGCTGAGTCTGGGGAGGTCGCACCCGGGTGGGAATAGCTGTGACCAAAGAAAAGAATAGATTTATGCAGAAACCCGCCTGCCCAGATGTTGCTTAGAGGTGATATTTGATCTCGATATCAGAACAGAACCAACTGCTGGAGAAATATTCAGCTCATGGTTTCCCACACCGATTCAAATCTGTTCTAGGTAATCCACAATGCTGCTCCCCATTACATTTCAAAGTCAATTTCCTGTGAATATTTCTGACATAACAGGTTCCTGCTGTGTTTCCTGTCTTAGTATTAAACAAAATACTAATGGGCAAACCTCTATTGTCTTTGGACGGAGTTTCATTCTTATTAGGTGCTATTGTCCGTCGATTCTAAAAGAAAAGGAGAAAACAGCCAGATGTTAGTTTTTTTTCAGGGATTCCAGACTTTACAGCTGCCCTCCACAAAGGAAAACATCTAGAAAACATCTAAAAATCCTCCTCAGTTATTAACTGAAAATGACAGTTGTCTCTTTTCTTGATGAAAAATGCCAGAGATTGGGATTCTAAGACATATAAAAACAGTCTTTTAGCTCAAATGTAAGCATCTCCTGATATACGTCACACACTCAAAGCATCTAAGCAACTGAATCAAACAGGGTGTATAATTACAAAAATCATGTATTGGCACCAGGTGTAGGTATTGAAAACTATAACAACTTTATATTTTACCACTTGTAAAAACAATTTTTCCTTAAAAGTAAGTCTCATTACTCACAGTGGACAAGACGTTTATAAGCAGCAGAAGCAAATATGACAGCAGTGCTCACCTTTGCAATTCTGTTGCTCTTCACACCTGTGGGTGTCGGAGGGGGTGGGGTCTCTGGACTAGGGGCAATTTCTTCATCTGGGGCCACATCTGGATTAAGTGCAAATATACTCTCCAAGTCAATCTGTCCAGAAACATCAAAGCGGTGATTTAACTAACAGCAAATGTGGAAGCAATGCATGTTTAGACAACAAAAATAATCCAACAAAAAATGGATTCTTATTCATTCACTTAAAGTGAAGTCCTGAGAAAAAGAGAGTAGGCAGCAGCTCATTTACAAAGAGTCTTGTACAATGGGGTGAGTGGTCCCAGTAACAGGGTGTGCACACCGGCTTGCAGAGGGCCATGTGTGGTGGGGCTGTTGCGTAACCACACCAGCTCCAGAACATCTCTGAATACATTATTCATTGCTGTGGAAAAAAAACCTGCGTCTGGCTGCCGGTGTATGGGCTTTTGAGTAGGGATAAATGGCGGTTTACCTCCTTCCCTTTTGTGTCACCATTCTCTATCCACTCCACAGTTACACTCTCGTTGTCCTCATTCAGAGAGGTCACCATTGCCTGATGAATACGTCCTGGAAAAGAGAAAACTCAAATGTCAGTTTGGGACTCAAGTCAGCGTTTACTCTTACACACTAAAAAAATTCATGCAGACATGTGTGGAAGTAGTCCTGCATGTGATATTCACTTCCTAAATGTACAGAGATTTTAATAATACATGATATCCACATTTTATATCTCTGCAAAGCTTTTTTTTTAACCTTTTTATTGAACTTAAGTATGAATTTAATTTAATAAGTTTGTTTTGTGTATTGTGTCTGGCAGCTTTCTGAGGCACGTTATGTTGTGTGAGAATGAGGAAGCAGGCTGTAGCTAATCTGAGTAAATTCTGGCATTTGGGCCGATAATGTCCAGAGGAGTCCACCACAGCTGCTGCTGGCTTGCAGGCTTCTCCTTACCCCTCCGTGTCCCATGCAGTAATAACAGCTGTAGAAAGCCTGTTCGGTCCTCCCGTGTTTGCCTGTGCAGACTTGACTGCACAGTGTAAGTTCCCATCCCAGCCCCAGGAAACACCCTGTTCCATATCCATTATTTAGAGACAGGCTGGGAACGAGGAAGCAAAGATGCTTTTGGTGTTCTTAACAACAGAACATTTGATGTACCCATGCTGCCGTGGTTTTTACTTCGACATGTTACAACGGGAAAAAATTTAACCCTTGTGGTCAGACGTTGGGAGAAGAACACACCCCGGCTACTGTGCACTCGGATAATCTGGAACAGTCTGTGGTTATTTCAGCTTCAAATATTATTTTATTTATCAAATGAGGTAGCTATAGAGTGAACACAATGTTTACTGCAAGTTTGACTCTGATGAAGATCTTTTGAGTCCAATGTCTGGACCTGCCCTCTGCCGGATTATTATTCTCATATAGACATCTGTGTGATGGCATTAAGGGATTACACTTTAATAATACAAGATTTTTGGTCAGATGATTTGAATGAAATTCAAACAAAAATCAGAGCTGGGAACAATCCAATCCAGCTCCAATCGTCATTACCAACCTGCATTCGGATCAGGCTCCATAATCTAAAGCTTTTCCTTATTGTGAGTGCGATAGGCTGTAATGCAAGACGACCAACCGGTATTGATTATGTTGCCTTCCTGAACACAAAGCCTCTTCTGAGAGACATCAGTTAGCAAAGATTATAAAGAGGATGCTCACTTTCCATTGACATGAAAACTGAAGCCTGTTGTAACACTTTCAGACAAGGTACACTTAAACATCAGTCTGATGCTATCGCCACATTTGGAGGACGTTCTAACGTATTCAAATCAAAATCGCTCTTCCTTCACACAAACTGAGACCTTACACGATATTACACACAGTTGTGTGCAGAAACCGACGGGTCTGTGTTCAGAGGAGACAACAAAGAGCAGCCCTGCAGCCGACAAGATGGATCTCACTGCACAACTGTGCAGGAGGAGGCTGTGTCATGCCTCTGTGATAAACGGAAATGTAGGTATTAACATGTTCGAAATATACTAGAAAATACAGAGTTACAATGGACACACACAAGAGGGATACTTTGGGAAAATGATGGGTTAGGATGAAGTGGGGGGGGGGGGAATAAAGGACATAGGAGAGGGCCTCGGTTTTACATCTGCACCTGAAGAGGAAGGAGAGCACTGCTGTACAGAAGATTTTTGTCGACAAGGTACCCTGCAGTGTGGAACTCGCTCCTCCAAACCACTGCAGCGTCCTGACAATAGCTATTAGCTACCAACACAGATCGCGAAAAAACCTAAGTGAGGGTGGCTGTGAGGCTAATATCAGCAGTTATGTTCCAGAGCACGCCTTTCTGTGGCTTCAGTCACAGCATTTGGTTAATTACATGTTGCACATGTAAAGGCAGTGCATGTAAACCAACTTCCTGCAAACCACTGTGTTCCAAAAGCATTGGAGCACACAACATGTGACACTTTGGGCTGTTCACATAAGCTAATAGTAATGACTGCATGTGATGATCAGCAATGCTGTACAACAGCAGATTTAGTTGGAGTTCTTTATCATTTGCCGTCAAAATGAAAACATTGATACATTTTATTAGTGGGTTTTATTTTATCCACCAGTGCAGCAGCTTACAGGACCTTCTTTCTAAACACAAAGTGCCTCTGGTTACTGGACAGAGGTCTTTGTACAAACAAAATCCATCTGAAAAGAAACAGAGTATATTCCCTTTTATGCAAGAGATCCAGAGGCTTTAACCCTTTCCAAATGAACACTGCTCAAAATATGAAAGTGTGTCTAAATTTAGGACTCAGTGGAGTCCAACTAAAATTCACGGGAAAACATACCTTGTTATGCCTGCTAGGATTGTTAAAAATAATAAATCTCTCCGTATGCACAGCTTTCCTCTGGGGTGTGAAGCAGCAGCCAGTACTGTGAAAGATGCTTGCTATACAGCCTATAGTAACACCACCGTTTCATTATATTATCTGCTATGCCTTTCGTTTCATGAAAAACTATCAGTCTTCAGAAAAGTACAATTGATCAAAATCTGACATTGGAGGTCATTCCTTGCACAAAGCCAAGTCAGCCCGTAAAATAGCTCCTTGTTCAGCAATTTTCTACTTTAAATCTGCTTAGCATTCACCTTTCCACTGGGTTGAACACTGATACGCCTACAAACATTTTATGTCCACAGGATTCCATTACGTTTCCTCCAAACTAAATAGGTGGTGTATCAAATACTGGCCTTCAAATGACGGTTCCTCATATCTGACCAAAGTGAAACCTAGTCTGTTAAACCAGGTGTTAACGTGACAAAATATCATCACTAACTAAATGTTAGCATTCAAGGCAGAATTAAAGAATAGTGCAGTGATAAAAGCATGCAGAGTTGTTAATTAATGGCACAAACTGCGTGAACACAGAATGCAAATAAACTGCATAACATGGCAACAACATTTACACAAGGCCAGTCTAACCTGTTAATGTCAGAGGCCTACAGACCACAGGACACACTGCTACTTCATCTTCAACAGTAACTACAGGAATAAGAATGTATGCGTTTGTTTTTATAATTCAATACCTTAGTGATCCCCACTGAGTATTTTAAGGCTGAAATATAAATCATTCATACTGAAAGATGACGAGATATTCATAAAAACTGTTGGTAAACTTGGAAAGTACCGCAAATGAGGTGTGGTTAAAATCTACAGAGATCACCATGAATGGACTGGGGTGTCGTCTCTGTCACTTGGCTACATGGGATCACAAATATTAACTCTATTGACATATCGCTACAAATTTGCTGAGAATACTACATCCAGGGTGCTAAGACATGATTACAGTATCTGTTATTTGTCCCCTACTTTACAGTCCCTGTCTGCACATATACTCTGAAAGCTGGAGCAAGCCTCATCAGGCCACCAGCTCATCTGTTTTTATCTGACAGTGATCTCACGTGTTTGTTGAACACGGCAAGAGATGGCGGCCTTCCTCAACTTTTCTTTCTGTTTTGGTTCTGCCCTGGATTCTTGACATCTCTTCTTTATCCAATCAGATGTTAAGGTCTTGTTAAAAGTGTTATGGGGGGGGGGCATGTCTGGCAGAATTCAAGGATCTGGCTGCAACAGATGGGGAGGTGGCTAATAGCCTGAATCTGGACCAGGCCTCCACCCACCCCCAGCGACAGGGCAATCCCTGCTCTGGATTCAGCACCAGCTGACAGAAAACTGACTAAACTAAACAGATTTCCTCTCTGGTCCTGCTGTGCGTTAATTCACTTCTCACAACTCACTGATTACCAGCTTGTAACAAATGAGTCAGATGATGGAGACTTTTATTCATTACACCTTTTGACAAATAAGTAATGTTTGGCAACAGTTTTCTGCTTTTCATCTTCCACAGTTTAAAAAAAGATTATTGGTGTTTTGTGTGTCTAATGCTGCACATCATCTCTGAGCAGGACGCTTTGTGAACTTTAGTAAGGTCTGCCTGAAAGAATTTAGACAAATGTACCTGTCCTGGTTTGACATACTCCCAAAAGAGAAAAGCTGAACAAATACTCAGGGCAGGCAGAGGAAAACTAATTTACACAGAGAGGAGTTGTCAACTCATTGGTTATACTTTAAAACAACTGAAGCTTAAGTAAGTGCATTTTAATCCCATTTTCTTTGTGAGCAAATACATTATGCAGTACCTCTATAAAAAGCACAATGTTGGCAGAGGTGCTTTGGTCACTACATTCCTTATCTCCTTCATGACATGCTATATTTGAACGTCACAATATGCATCATTATCCATGACTTAAGAGTTAGCAAGGATATTATCCTAACATTTAACTAATATCGTCACTCGTGGTCTGCATATCCAAGGCCAAAATGATGTAATCCTTGGGACACACCTGTCTAAGGCATTATCAGTCAATGGCATAACAAATATCGAGAGAACCGGTTTAGTATTTTTTAAAGCTAATCAATGGTTCCCATAACAACCTATAAGATAGCTCAGGATATATCTTACAACCTAAACATTTATCACATGAGCCATGATTGTAGACGGTGAGAAAAATACTAGTTGGAAAGATTTATGTCGGTTAAGTTTCACTCCAGCATTCCCTGCTGTTACAAAGCCGGGAAACGACTGTTAGCCACAGAGCTAACGCTAATGTCGCCCTAACATTAGTAAGCTAACTTGCATGTTAAGCTACCCAGGCTAGTCTAAAAAATAGAGCTAATTCAAATATTTTTTTATGGTGAGGTGACTACATGATTAAATTGTTATTGTTCTTTGTTCGGGTCATAATGGTAGCAAATGCTGTTATCAATCGATACTAATATGAAGCTAAACCCAGAAATGTCTTACATTCGCATAGAGGCTTGCTAACAATGGTCAGCGCCCATTCAAACCCCAAGGCCATGAGGAAACTCTCCGCCCTGACAGTTCGTTTTACCGTCTTGCTGTGCTAACACCGCTGACGCTAACGTGAACGCTGCGCCTTGCGGCCGGGTACAACGGTTGCTATATTCAACAGCACCGCAACAACAATGATCCCTGAACAACTTACACAGTGCGACAAAAAAAAACGCACAGCAGACAGAGTGAAACTTACCATCACTCCGCTTTATCTCCACATAAGTACCGACGACTATCTTCCCAAACCCAGACGCCATTCTACATCCCTTAAAAAAGAATAACAAATACAGGACTAGAGACTTATCATAAGCCGGGTAAATGCAGCCTCTTCGACAGTCTTTGGTTAGGGAGGAAGATGCAGGCAACAGAATGAGGTAGATTACGTAGCAACAAAGAACAACAAAGTGTTTCCGGTCTGGGATTTTCAAAACAAGGTGACGGTTGCAAAAATGTCTGCAGTGCGTTGATTAATGTTCCTTCAATAAGCCTTTGGAGAGGGCCACTGGCAAGACCTGCAACTACTCCACCAATATAGTGAAATCCAAAGCCATCTTTGATCGACATGAACAGTGCATCAAGCTCAACAAACTCGTAATGCATATTTACTGATGTAAATATATACATTCTAATAAAACACCTTGCTTTATAAGGTCTAAAGATTTTCTACTTAAATGATCATGCTTGTACAACACCAGCCATTTTAAATATTATACTTGCGTTTTGATAGTATGTTATAATAGGATAATATGTGGGAGAGAAAAGCAATGATGTTGAATTAAAAATGCAGCCCGCAATGCTGTGTAATATTTTTGAGGTTCATGATAAATCTGACTACAGGTCAGTAAACAAAATCCAAATACAATCCACATGTAAAAATACATGGTCCACCTTATCACTGTAATCCTCAACAGACACAACCATCCTTTCGACCATGATAATGAGACATGTCCAAAAACCTGCATGTTAGGTAGTTTGGACATTCCAAATTGTCCTTAAGAGTGAGTGTGGTTGTTTGTCCTTGTATGTCTCTGTGTGGCCATACGATGGACTGTTCGACCATCCAGGGTGTACCCTGCCTTTCGCCCATTGACTACTTGGAAAGACTCCAGTGCTCCCGCAAAGCCATTAGGGAATAAGCAGCTATGATGGATGTTTAATGTGTTCACTTAAAAATATTCTGATTGTTCACTCAATTACTTATTTATCAAACTACAAATGTTTCTGGATTGATGACGAAAATAATCGTCAATGGAAAATGTGCAAAAAAAACAATGGACAGATGATACCACCTGGTGGCAATATGATTTTATTACTTCATACCTATTACATTCCTACATTCTTGAACACATACATTTGCAACATAAAACATCAGATTTATTTCAGTTAATTCATACTGAGACAATCACAGCAAATCCAACAAAGAGAAGGAAAAAAGTTCTGTTCTGCTTTGCAAAAACAGAAATACCCTTTTCTCTCCCACATTTTCTGTAATGTGTTTGATTTCTCCATTTCTTCAATACATAATGGAAAGGTGACGTTTAGGCATCATATCAGAGGAAAATGAAGTTTCTATCACAGAAAAGAGCTAAAACATTTGTCTGTGAAGCATGTCCATATGCACAAGTAGTGCACACGTTATGTGTGGTGTCCCTGTGGCTTTTTTCCTCTGCTAAAATAAAAAGATTTTGTTCTTCCCTTACAATCACAAGCTTAATTTTTAAATGAAAGTCATGATGTGTGAGATCATATTCTTTCCAGAAGCTACCAGTTTCTTGTGGTCCCACAGTTGTCACCCCCTCCCCAGCAGCGTGATCAACCCCGCCCCCTTAAACTCCCCCTCTAGGCACATCTTGCATTTGCCACTAAGTTCTCAGCTGTCTGAGCCCTAAATAGACCTTATCAGGAGCGGACCATCTTTGAGGGGCCACTGAAACTTAACACACTATATTTCAAAAATGTGTTTTGCTCTTGAAGTCTTGAATAATTCACCTCCACTGTCATTTTATTTGTAATGACCCAGGCCGTAATGGTTTCTTATCATCTGAAGTGTGAAGCTATATCTCTGAGGGGCGGTGTCTTTTTAGAAGGAACCCCTCAGTGTCACCAATGGTTGACCTTAGCTCTGTCCCACCTCATTGAGATCCACTATAAATATAAAGTGAGATGTTAGTGGGGGGAAGGTTACTATAGACAGAAGAAGTCTGGTGATACTACCACTGGCCAGAGGTCCTGATTATCTACCCTGAACGAGAACTGAAAAGACACGACGAAGAGAAGGAAGATAAAACTAGACACACAGCATAAAGGTACAGTACAGCCTCCACAAACATGAGTGTTGCTCTTGCTTAGAAGTTGTGCTGAGGGTACAGTTGCCTATCGGACAGGTAGGAATAGATCTGTCTTTTGGTTGCATTTGTTGTAAGCCTCACAGTAGTGAATGAGTCCATGCCCAAATAAGGTATGAGAAGAGGCCGTGTAAAGTTAGAGATTGCACGTGTGTGACCATTCGCTTCAGAACACCCAGGTCAGCGGAACTGTGATTTGTAATGGTGAGGATTCAAACAAGAATATTTCTTCATGATGGCATTGATTCATATTCCTTTAATGACATAAAATGATTTTCTAGGATCCCGTGTGAAATATAAGGACAATTATTGCAAGCCCTATGTAGGTTCTTCCATTTCAATATTTTGCTTATTTTATTGGCAAAAAATTGTACTGAAATACTCCAAAACTGTGAGCTTACCTGAAATGTTTTTGTGTCCAGAAATCGCCTGAACACAAACAAAAGTGTGTTTGTCTCTACTGCAGCTAGTATACTACATTTACATTTAACAGATTAATTGAACAGAATAGTCAAATCAGTACACTTTTCCTATTATAAAAAAAAAAGATTAAACAATAAGTTTCCCTTTTTAGTTTTTCTTTTTTAAATGGAAAACAAAATTCCATATGGTCTGTATGGTATTGTTGTAACTGATAACCCCTTTTTCTGGCAGATGGGAGACCCAGTCCAATTAAAAGATGAGGGAAACACACACTTTCAGGCAGGAGATATTGACAAGGCCATTGAATGCTACACTAGTGCCATTAAGGAGTGCAAAGACAAAAAAATGCTGGCTGTGATTTACAGGAACAGATCTGCATGCTACCTAAAGAAGGTAAGCAGTTTAAGAATAAATACATACAGTGCACAGTAAGCAGCCTATATTTAAAACTTTATTGGAAAATGTCCTTTTTTTGCAGGAGAATTATGCCAATGCAGCATCTGATGCATCTAAAGGTAGAGGGACGCTAATGAAATTTAAACAACCTTAAGAATACAGGAGGAGCAATGCCACACTCATAGACAAGTCTGGATATAAAAACCAATTTTTTTCCACTCTTTTCAATAGCAATTGATGTCGATGCAGCAGATGTTAAAGCCCTGTATCGCCGCTGCCAAGCTCTGGAAAAGCTGGGAAAACTTGACATGGCCTTCAAGGATGTGCAGAGATGTGCCACCATTGAACCGAAGAACAAGACCTTCCTGGAAACTCTCCGCAGGCTGGGAGCAGAAATTCAGTCCAAGGTCAGCATAGAGTAAATACATCAAGACAGCATATGCAAAAAGAGCAGCATGGAAGCTGCATCACTGGCTGTTATCAACCAAAAAAAGAGCCGGATTTATAGTTTATTTAGATGGATTTTACTGTGGACACAATGGAAAGAAGATGGCAGCATTTCAATATCACTTACTCTGCAAGTTTTATTTACAAGATTATTTCTTTTGTTTAGCTCAAGTCGACATTCTCCACTGACTCAAGAGTACAAAATATGTTTGACATTCTCCTTGATGAGGAAATGGAAAAGGACAAAAAAGAAAAAGTACGTATTGTCAGTTTTCTTCATCAGAAAAGGAGTGAACTAATTAAGTCTTCATCAGCTGTCAGCTTGTTATAGAATTTCTACAATTATAGAAAGTTTTGACACAGCTGTGCTTCCTTTTTCATTTCCAGGCTGCCAACAACTTGATTGTGCTTTCGAGAGAAGACGCTGGAGCAGAGAGAATCTTCCAGAATAATGGTGTACCCCTGCTGCTCAATATGATAGAGACAGGCAAAGTAGAAATGATCCTAGCGGCAGTCCGTACTCTGTCAGGAATGTGTACGGGACACAAAGCTCGGGTGAGTCAACAGGCCGTCAAAGGAAAAGGGTGATGTAAACTGCAAATCTAACAAACAAAAATAAAACAGACGTAAGTGCTGTCACATTGACCTCACGCAATCTTTATTTAAAAACTTCTGAATAGACCATGGCCATCGTTAACATGGTGGGGGTTGATAAGCTCTGCAGCATCATGGCACTTGACAATGAGGAAATCGCTCTGGCATCCTGCAACCTCTTCCAGTGCATCAATGACTCCCTTACTGGAGCAGACTCCAGAGAATATGGGAAAGAGGCATCCCTGGTTTTGGGTGAGATATAAAAAGCACTACTTTTTTGCATAATTGCATTATTAAAGTTTTATTCAGCATTAGGTCTTAATTCTGTACCAAATCCAACACTAACAAAGACACATTCAACTAAGGCCATTTTGTTCTCACTACAACAGGCTTAGGATGAGATGTTTTAAATTATGTGTCTCTGCAGATGCATCCAAAGACCTGAAAACTATTCTACTTGCTCTGTTGGAGATGGTTGCCAATGCAAAGGTGTCTGGTCACGGCAGAGACCAGGCGCTGAACCTCCTGACCAGGAACGTGCCTCGCAAAGACAAGAAAGAGAAAGACCACTCCAAGAGCCTCTTCACTGTTGATCACGGTGAGCCAGAGCACTCCCTCGGGTCACTTTTGCCATCTGCTGGTGCCACTCAGATTCCCTGACATCATGTGTGTTCCTTAGGTCTGAAGAAGATCCTCAAAGTTTGTGGTCAGGTTTCCGAACTGCCAGACCAGCTATCTATGACCGAGAACACACAGCTGATTGCTAGCGTGCTCCTCAACAAGCTCTATGATGACCTTAAATGTGACCCGGAGAGAGACAATTTCAGGGACATTTGTGATGAATATGTAAAGTACGTCCTTAAAAAAAGGAACCAGGAGTTTGATGATGTCATATCAAAGAGGTGACCAGAATTAACTTGTAAACACATGTAATTTCACATTCTCTCCTTTTACACAGATCCAAAATTGACCCCAACAACATGGACAAGACCCTTCATGCTATCAACACCATTTCAGGGCTCTTGCAGGGTCCCTTTGATGTTGGTAATGCTCTAGTTGGACGACAGGGCATCATGGAGATGATGGTGGCCCTTTGTGGCTCTGAACGTGAGGTGGACCAGATGGTTGCCGTGGAAGCCCTGATCCATTCCTCCACAAAAATGAGCCGTGCCAGCTTCATTATCACCAACGGTGTGTCGCTGCTGAAGGACATCTACAAAAAGACAAAGAATGAGAAGATCAAAATCCGCGCTCTGGTGGTGAGTGTCCAGTGGATGGGGCAGAGCAAAGCTTGATGCTCAACCCAAAAGGGATTTTGGCCTATTAGGTGTTCCGGTGATATGATTTTTGAGACCATCCCAGGCAGCAGTGTGATGCATGCTCATGTCCTCAACAGGGTCTGTGCAAACTGGGTTCAGCTGGAGGTGATGATTACAGCTTAAGGCAGTTTGCTGAGGGCTCCACAGAGAAACTGGCCAAGCAGTGCAGAAAGTGAGTGCTCACACATCACGGTTAAAGGTTTTTAGCTGTAATCATTGAAATAATATCTAAAAAGAATCTGTTAACAACACAAGCAATGTTTTATTAAGCAAGGGGTGTTTCCATACGAGGTACACATACTGTACCATTTGCATGTATGCCTTTAGCAGAAGCTTTTATCCAAAGCAACTTCAAAAAGAGGGTTTAACATTCAAAGAGGGTACGGATGTACCAATGTACCAATGTGCCACAGCTCAGAATCAGCTAAATATTTTCTCTTTGCATTTTCCCAGGTGGCTCTGTAACCCTCAGATTGATACCAAAACAAGGAAGTGGGCCATCGAAGGTCTTGCTTATTTGACAAATGATGCTGATGTGAAAGATGACTTTGTGGAAGATGAGCCTGCATTGAAAGCCATGTTTGAACTGGCTAAGGTACCAAATAAAAAGAAAAAAGTTTACTCCTTAAGCTGCAATGAGCCACTTCTGTGTTTTCTAATGGGAACCCTTTAAAGTCAGCAACACCTATCTGGTTACCATCACCAGCCTTTGCCACATATGATCACATTTTTGTACACTGTTAAACATGAAATTGTATGTTTGTAGCGGAATCTTTTTTCATCCATAACATTTAAGTACATAAAAATACACATTCCAACTATCAAGTCAATTACAAAAGGCTCACCATCAAATATATGCAGGAATGCCTTCATAATGATAGCGGGTCTCTCTCTCAGACATTTATAAACATTCTTTTTTTTCTCCTCTCTAGTCCAGGGATAAAACTATCTTATATGCAGTTGCTTGCACCCTGGTGAACTGCACTAACTGCTATGAAAAGAAGGACATCCTCCCCGAGCTGGTTCAACTTGCCAAGTTCTCAAAACAACATGTACCTGAGCAACACCCCAAGGTGAGGTAGAGATTCTGACCACAGCACATGTGGAGCAGGAACCTTTTGAAGCCTACAAGAACACAGTCTAAATTAGAAATATTGTTTTCTTCTTTACAGGACAAGAAGGACTTTATTGAGAAGAGAGTGAAAAGGTTGCTGAAGGCTGGAGTCACATCAGCTCTGGCGGTGATGGTCAAAGCAGACAGCTCCATCTTGACTGATCAGACCAAGGAGATGCTGGCAAGGTAGGACAAGACATTGGAGGGTGTTTTCACGTGCTGTGATGGACACTGGAAATAAACACAGTTTGTGTGTGAAGGATACTCTGGCTCAGAATTAAATATTGATATTACACAAAAAAGAGCGATGAAGTACTATGGTTTCCACTTTGATCTGTTCGTAAATGTGTGACAAGATTGAGAGGCGATGTAAAAAACAATGTCATAAAATGTCTGTTCTGATTTTTAGGGTTTTCCTTGCATTGGCAGCAGATCCAAAAGATCGTGGTATAATTGTTGCCCAAGGTGGTGGAAAGGTGAGAAACTCAGTAAGATTTATGTGTGAGAGAAATAAGGCATGATAGTTCAGGGAACAAAAATATATAAGATACCTCTATTATTAATATAATATACCTAATTATACCTTATATAGTATATATATATAGTATATATATTATATACTATATTATCTAATTGGGGTGGTTATGCTTTGTTGATATTTACAATTTCCTGTCCCGTGCCTTCAGGCTCTGATACCACTTGCTCTGGAAGGCACAGATGCCGGAAAGGTGAAAGCCAGCCATGCCCTTGCCAAAATAGCAGCCGTGTCCAACCCAGAAATCGCCTTCCCCGGTGAGAGGGTAAGACATCTATCTGGGCCTTTGTATTTATCAGTGTAATAATAATAATAATTTCATATTTTGTCAGAACACATTTAGGTCACCTTTTGAGGTAGAATAATTTTGCAGTTTTTCTTTGTTTTATTGAGGGGCTGAGTTTTTCTTTCCGCAGTTTTTTATCATCACCTGCATGATTTCATATGTAAACCCTCCTGGTATTCAGTTTGCAAATAATTGGACGGATGCACTTTTAACTCAGGCCCAACTTAAATGTGATCTTTATCTGCAGGTGTATGAGGTGGTGCGGCCTTTGGTCAGCCTTCTTCAAACAGACAAAGATGGAGCGCAGAACTTTGAATCTCTGAAAGGCCTCACCAACTTTGCTGCCTTCAGCGAAAAACTAAGGTGACGTTTTTGACCCATGTGTAACGCTGTGACCATCAGGACTGATAGCCTCCCTGAGGTGATTTTACCACAGCAACGGTTACTGACCTTTACCCGCCTCTGCTTTGCAGAACCAAGATAGTGAAAGAGAAGGCTCTGCCAGAGATTGAGAACCACATGTTTGAGGAGAATGAGAAGATCAGACTGGCTGCCACTGAGTGCATGTGCAACCTTGTGACATGTAAAGAGGTGAGAATGGCTAAAAGAGCTTGCATCTAAAGATAATTCCTGAATCAGTTTTTGCATCAGAAAAATGTAACTTTTTGTGTTTTAGGTTCAAGATCGTTATGTGGAGGATGGCAATGATAAGCTGAAGCTGCTGGTGTTGCTGTGTGGGGAAGATGACGACAAGCTTCAGATAGCTGCAGCAGGAGCTTTGGCCATGATCACCGCAGCTCAGAAGAAGCTCTGCACTAAAATCACCGTGGTGGTATGTGATAAGAGCTATTTTTAGTCCTCGGGTATCACAAAAGAGCGTCCAGTCCATTGGGTTACCTTCCAAAATGTTTCAGTGACCAAGTGACGGTTTTCTCCCGACAGACGGCTCAGTGGCTGGAGATCCTGCAGAGGTTATGTCTCCATACCAACCCTCACATCCAGCACCGTGGAATTGTCACTGTCTACAACATGCTCAACGCTGATGACAGCGAGCTGGCCAAGAAGCTGATGGAGAGTGAGCTGCTGGAAATCCTCTCAGTGATTGGAAAAGCTGAAGACAATCCCAAGAGGCAAGACCCCATCGATGCAGCACGTGCATGCCTCGTCAGAGCCATGGATCTGGGCCTCATTAAGCCCTTCAGCACCCCTTCCTAAAGTCCAGGCCACAAGAAAACTAACAACAGCAAAGGAGCTCTTTTTTCCTCGATCGCATAGAGGCTTTGTATCCATTTACTTTTTATTAACTAAATCTCTAAAATATAACTAATAAAAGTTTCAATTTGTATATTATTTTCATTCTTTTTTATTATAATTTTTCTAAAAGGTTGACTTTGTAAAGCTTGGGTGGTGGGGACTTTGTTTGTTCCGCTTTGTAACCCATGTAAAATGTTTTGAGAATAACTTTGTTTCTACTGTGTGCTCTTGTTTGTGTGGTTGGATGAGTCAAAATATACAAATCAAATGACTCAGAGTTGCATTTGTCTTTTTATAACTCACTGTATACCCAAATTCCTCAGAGTAACTGGATATAGAAATAAAAAAGTGACCATCTGTTTGGTCAACCCGCAAACCTAATGTTACCCCGTAACCTGTAACCTAAAACTTGGATCTGAAGTATTTTAGACTGAAACTTACAAAGATGTAAATTTGAATGTATTTGAAGTGAGTTTGAAATCAGCGTAAATTGGAATGATGGTCATTAAGCTCCACATGAAACTCATACTAAGTCATACTTTCACCTCTTCAGGTTAAATAAATTGTCCTTATGACCTCTCTCTTAATCTTAATCATTTCTTCTTTGGAACTAAGAATTGTTTTACCACCAAAAAAAATTAAATTACCAAAATGTCTTTTTGCCTACCATGATAGCACGTCAGGCTGAAGTTGGCTAAATTTAAATGAGATTGTTAAAGTGATCATTATTCTCTGAGACAAAAAAGGCATCCCACAATGAAACCATTCCAACTTTGGGCTGAGGTTGAAGAAATATTTAAAATATATATCTCTCCTCTTTCGCTGTTTGAAAGTTGAGTTGAGAGAAAGTTGAAAAAAAGGTTTCTCACACTTTAAAAACAAAACAATCTAAAATGCTGCAAATCATTTTTATGTAGAGCTAGTACCCCAGTGGAGCGAGAGTCCCCTCACACATTATTATGTTTGACTCAAATCTCCCTGTGTTACCAAACTATTCAAAAATCGTATTCATATTTGATACGAATATCTTGTTTGTTGAACTTTACAGGTGCCAAACCGAGATAGAGTTTTTGTTGTTCTTCTGCTAGAGGGAGCTATTTCATCATGTAAAAGCTGTTAAATGTCTGCTGTAATCAACTGATTTACTCTGATGAAGATGAAAAATCCAACAAAGGGTTTACTCAGCAAGATGATGGTAAATTGTCTAAGAATCATCATGGTGGTTATAGAAGCTGGTAAGATGACACCTTGATCATTGGATTAAAAGGATTTATATAATGGAATTAATAATGTTTAATGATGTGTCTACTGTACATTTTGACATTCTAATTGTTATAAAAAAACATTTGACAAAAAAGAGATGAAACAATTCTATCTGGACTTCATATGTTTTTAAACGTATCTTTTTAAGATTCCCACAGTCTTGAATGAAGACTCTCAGTCTTTCAGCTCCAGGCCTTCCCAGCTCAGCTGATAACCCAAAATACAGTCTGTGACATCTCCTCTGGTCTGTTTTCTTAAATGTAACTGCGCAAAATGATGCGTAGGCGACTCCATTTTTTTTCTTTCTGTATTGACTGATATAATTGTAATTATTTCCTCACCAAGCTCCAGCGAACTCTGGCTTATAATATTATGCCTCCATACTGCAGTTGGCGACAGAGGTGATTCATTATTCCCATCAAGGTGACGAAGTTAAAGCGAACTTTGTTCCGCCTCCAGAGAGCAGCATCGAGTCTGCTCCCCCCTACTGCACCCCCCCCCCCCCCCCCTCCACAGCAGCATAATGAGATGTATGGCTGTGGGGAGGCAGGGCAGGGACGCAGTGAACGCACCACTGGCTCAGCTGAGCGGACGCTTGTGCAGAACACGGGGACGCACGTACCGCGACTACTGCGGAGCGGCTTCATTCCTCTGCTGCCGGAGGAGAGGGATTCCTGTCACTACTGCAGCCCGTCAGGAAGAAAAGAAGGAAAAAAATACGACTGAGAAAAAACGATTACAGTGAGTTGGACCCGTTCCGCAAAAAGCGACATTTTGTTAGAATTTGACAAACTGCCACCGCTGTGCGAGACGGTCCTCGTTTGAAGGTGTCTCCTCTCAAATGTCGCGACAGGTGTTGGAATTGCAGGTGTGCTTTTACTGAGTCAAATCATCCAGCTGTTTAGCCTTAAGTCCGATAACTCCCAGTTCATCACAGAGGCTGCGTTTCTCTGTAAGATTTAAAGTTGACTGGTGGGCAGATTGTAAAGGTCAGGTTTGTGTTCAAAGCCTTTACTGTAAATAAAATGGGTTGTTTGAATGGCAGGTTTTAGGTTTAGGGTTTTCCTATTTCACTTCCAGCTCTAACTTTCACGTTGCTGTTGTTATTCAGATGTAAAAGTCTGTTTGCACCAGTGGTGCTAAGGTGCCACTTGTGATTCAGAATGCTGTCCTGTAGACTTTTTTTTTTTGTTACTGGGGCTTCCTATTTTCTGATGAAGTATCTCTGGTTTTAGTTAAAAACACCCAGTGCTGGGAAATGAGGCAACGCTAAGCTTGTGAAACAATGGACGAAGAAAGAGACCTCTAAATAAAGGCTAATGCTGACTTTTCACTTAAGCAAAGACGTTAATGTTTACACAGTAAAAGGTCCCAGAAACTTGCAAAGTAAAGTTTCTCTGTGCTGAGAGGATTTTTTTGAGGATACCTGTCTGGGTTATTGCTGTGACACCGGTTTGAGGCTCAGCATCTAGCACATTATGACAGCTCTTCACGGTCATGTGCTACATTTCTCTGCTGGTCACTGCCTTCCAGTGTCCCCACAGCTCTCTGCCCTCTGTGCCGGGCAGACTTTCACTGTGTGCTGCGGGAGTAAGAGGACAGGCAGCACTGTGAAACCAAGGAAAAGGAAAGGCAACTTCTCACCCGGTATGTCATGCTGGGAGACTGAGAACTGATTCATTTTTTTGTTTGTATGCGAGCTCAACAGTGAGAATGAACAATCAACGTTTCTGTCAGGCTGCATTACAGCTAGTCAACATGTTTTCACTTTGGATTACGTATGAAAAAGGAAGTGATCATCATAGTTTGGTTCAGATCGTTTAACTTGCAGGTTTCTTTGCTCGTATTGTTTGATTGTTCATCAGGAGATAGACGCCAGTTTCTGTTTAGAAAAAAAGAGTGATGCCCTAATGGGCGTTAAAAATGAATTTCTCATGCAAATCTAAGTGATCGAAAGTCGTGTAATTGGGCCAATGCATTACTTATTTACCTTTACAAACCTCCTGCCTCTTCTTCATTTGACTGTGAGGCAGTGGAGTGGCTCCGGGGTGGTCAGCTTGCTGCACACAATGTTTGAAAGGGAAAACAAGTCATGCAAATTCTCTGCTTTATCCTCCGGAGGGACACCTGAACTTTCGTCCCGTGCGGCCTGCTGCCCTCAAACCGATGTGCTTCTCGTCACTGTGAGCGGCGCCTGTGCATTACGTAATGTTTTCCACCTGAGTGGCGGCTGAAGTGCCACATTTATTGTATGTCTCCTGGTCATTTTCTCTTTCTAGGGTTTTGCTGTGGCTCGGGAGCGTCTCTGTTAATTAGCCGGGTTGAACTGCAGGTGCTCGTCAGAAACTCGGGGGAAAGAGCGGCTCTCTCAGACCAACAGTGACATATTTCTGCCGCTGTGTTGGCTTCGTGCGAGGAAGGCTTTTCGCGCGGTCTTGTGATTTTGGGTCAAAGAGCACTCTATGTACCGGGCTTGCTCTGTACCATGGGATCCTCGTAGTGATAGGATCAAAAATAACAGCCGTATGAGCCTCATTAAGGCAGTTACATAAGTCAGGAGCTCTCTCATGCCTGACAATGGCCTGACTGACCAATGTGCCTTGTGTCCACACAGGGGTGTGGTTCTGAGTTGGGTCTGGTTACGGAAGCCAAGATTCAATGTTGTGAATCCAAAATCTGCCACTTCATAATGCTTGTTTGTGTCCAGGGCTGTCCGGCTTTTTGGTGTATGTCACGTCAGAGGATCAGGACAGGAATGTTGTTTTTCTTCCCCAGGTTATTCAGCAATTTCTTTTCTGGTTTCGTTTCTCAGCTCATGTGATGTGTCATTACATTTTAGGACTTAATTTATGCTACACATAATCATTGTTTTTCTGTTATATTAAAATAGTAAGCAATTACTTTTAGCCAACCGGTCACTGTAATGGATGACCTTTACATAGTTCTCAGCTTTTAACAATATTAACAATATGTAAGAAATTTCTAAGCCTTTTCTGTGTTTGTCAATGATTACTTTCGTACCAGTTAGAGTAGTACTGTTGTAGTAAATGAATCTATAAACTCACCGGGCTAACATAAAATGTCAACGTAACTTTCATCTATAAGCTGACTGTATGAGATTCCTTAAATGTAATTTAGAGAATTTGTTTACTGAGTGAGACGTGTCAACTGTTTGAACGTGGCTGTTTCTCTATGCCTAAAGTTGGCCATCTCTCAACTGAAAACAGTCGAAGTCAGAATCTCTGTGTTATCCTAACTCACATCTCTGGTGACCGAACTATTATTATGTACTGTGACAGGCTTCCTGAGTCAGTGCTAACAGCCAGCCGTCCATCCTTTGTCTACACCTGCTTACTCCACTTCTCGCTGCCAACTTTCATTGGCTGAGAGGTGGGGTACACCATGAACAGGTCACCAGTTTATCACAGGGCCTCAGAATCAGAACTGAGCTACAGAAAAGTGATACACATCACCGGGTTCCCTCTACTGATCGGATCATTTTCAGACTTCTGACCTCTCTGCAGTTGTGAGAAGTATTGTCACCTCTTTGCAGCCGTGAGCAGTATTGTTGCTCTGTCCAATCACAGTGCGCACCGTCTGTTATCTGTTTTATTGTGTTCATTCACTGGCCAGGCTCCATCCATGTCAGCACATACCACATACGACTCTGACTGCCATTAGCACTCAGTCAGGAGCCAGGACTTTGTAATGAAACTACCTTTGGTTGGTTGTATCGTCTCAAATAATAATAAAGAGTGTGTCATCTCCTTTGCTGCTCTCCAAGAACTGTATGAAAATGATAGATTTGTTGTAAAAATTGCCAAATGATCACAACAATAACAATAAAAGCTTTCAAATGAGAAACGTTCATGCTTCACATCCAAACCGCAGACTCAGCAATCACTCAGATAAAGCTACAGTTCTGGCCAGCATATCCTCAAAATAAAAAAAACAGTGTTTACCCAGTTAATGTATACACATAATAGACTCAAAAGGGCCACGGTGTTCTATACACCGTCTAAAGTTCCATGTTTTTCCTGCAAAAACAGCAAAGATGTACCTTATTAGAAAAAAAAATGTCAACTCACTGAAACTTGTCAACACATGGTCATATGGTACTGACAGTGTGTCACTTTGCTCTAATAATAATAATAATAATAATAATAATAACAATAATAATAATGATACATTTGTTTCACTCCGCTTTGAATGTAACTGTGCTAATTGAAACATGCATAATAATTAAAGGGACAAACTACTAATATTCCCATTTGAGATTCAGTTTTATTGTTATTATTATTATTATTGTTATTATATTAAGTCCTCCTTCTTTGGTTTTGGTCAAATCTCATCTGATGCGACGAGAAGCAAAATCACACATTATTTAGAACTTTGTTGCATTTCCAGACAATCAGCCTGTAAATCATCCTGTCCACCTCTCACATCAGTAAATAAAGTTTCCCTTTGGGCTGAGTGGGCTGACAGGAGTTTTGTCATGGCTGTCACTGCACAGATTGTTTCATTTTCCTCAGAAAGAGTTTTTGGCCCTTTTGCCCTTAATGCCCTCCACCACCCCTTCTCTTGGGGTGGGGGACCAACGTTAGTTTTTAAAACTGGATTCATTTGTTCTGTGACCGCTGAGCACGGACGCAAAACTTCCCACTTTTATCAGTGTGATCTTAATGACCTCCAAAGCTGAGTCCCTCCCCCCTCCCTTGCCACACAACACGTCGGCACCAACTTTTGGGAGGGTAAAAGAACATTCTGGAAGGACGGCAGCAGAGATGATTGGTTCCTGATTGTTCTGAACTGTGTCACGGTTGGCTGGTTTGAGGCTGCTAACAGAGCGATTGTTCAGCAGCCTTGCAGGAATTCAGATTATTCAGAGGTTGTGGTGTTTGTTGTTGTTGTTGTTGTTGTTGTTATTTCGGCCCTGCTGGGCCCCTCTTACCCCCTCTACCACTTTCCTGATAATGAAAAACTTTGCAGAGGCCCACTCGGGGAACCCTAGAGGGAGATAGTAGGAGGAAGAGATGAAAAGATTGGGCCGAGTGAAGACAAACAAGTAGGAGAAACAGTCATGGAATGAGGTTATTGGATGGAATAAAATTCTTTCCTTTTTTTCTGTATTCCTAAACAATAAAACTTCCTATCTCCTTTGTAGTTTAAACGTAATAAAGAGGACCTTTGGACTCCAGTCTCAGGCGGTGTATAACTGTCTCTCACTTTCTCTCTGCCGTGATCTGGAACTTAGGAGTTGAGACGGGCTTGCGTAGATGTGAGTGGTGCGTGTCAGAGAGCGTTGTAGTGGCCGTATCAATGTTCTGGAGCAAATCCTGTCCCCCTCAGTGTCCTCAGAGAACTTTGTCTCTTGTTTTCCTTCACATACGCCTCAGTATGTTGTGCTCTCCCTCTCCATCCCCTCAGCTGAATCATGTGATTCTCTGAGTGCTGAGGGTGACCTAAGTCTCACTGCTCCTCATGTATAGTGGAACCAGAGTGAGACGTCTTCTGAATTACAAATGCGTTGTCTGAATTTGGCAAAATGAAATGCGTCCATTCTTTAGCTGCACACTGCCCAACTCTGGTCCTCCATTAAATAGTAGAAGATTTAAAAAAAAAAAATCTGTCAATCACAACTGTGTGAAAAGGAGGACACAAACAAGCAGAACAGCCTTCTGTATGGACAGAGTTTATGCACTTTATGTTATGTTTGGTTCTTTTGGGGTATTCTTGATCATTCTCAATCTTTGGTGCACTTAATTTTGTTTTATTTTATCATGCAAGGTATGGTGTGGAGATAAGGAGTTTTTTTTGTATGATGGAAAGATATTAGATTAAGAAATCAATCAGGGGTAAAATTGAATATGTCCCCTGCATTTCATACAGCTTGAAAGGGGGTGAGAACAGTTAAGTTGATGGAAGCCGATCCCTTTCAGGCCAAGCTAAGCTGACTGCTTTTGCATTTTTTTATTTTATTGTATCCTTCCAAATCCAGATCCCTGTGCTTATCTAACATCTCAGACCGGGGTTGCTGGGGTCATGACAGCCCAGCAGACCGGTCTGAGTGCCCTGCATTGCTGCTCCGCTATTGATCGTCCATTATGTCTCCAGTCCGCTGAAGTAATCTAATAGTATCTGGGGACAGAAAGAAAGCAGAGCAAAAAATCAACTTGCATAAGGTCTGTGTCCCGATCACAGAAATTGTGGGAGCCTTCTTGTCTGAGCAGCAAGAAGGCTCCCACTACAAAGGAGATAGCAAGTTTTATTGGATAGTTTCGTCTTTAAATGGTTTCAAAGGGGTTGTTACATTTTTGATACATAGTTAAAAAAAATGTTAAATGCAAATTTTGTATGTAAAAATGACTTTTGCTAATTGTATTTCTGCTGCATAGAAGAACTGTCAGGATGAATCAGATCAAAATATTCATCATACCAGACAGCCAAAGCCTGCTCCCAGCAACATGTTTTCCTTCCTTTGACTTCTTGATTAGTCTGAGCTGTTATTTGACTTCCACGGGGACTGACAGGCATCCTTGGCAATAACCCCGAAACCATGGAGGAGATATGGCATGAGAACCAGTGTTTGATCTGTGCTCAAGTGTGTTTGTTTGAGGAGTGATATAGTTTCTGACAAGGAAGTGGGAGGGACAAGTGGGAATAGAGTTCTTGCTAAACACAGATAGATACAAAGGGAAGAGGTTAGTGAGCAGCTTTTTTTTTCCAGGACCTGTTAAGAGCCTCAGAGGAGGGAGACATGCATAGAAATGAAATGTTAATTTAAGTGTGGATTGAAGTGTTCGCTGCAAGTCACAGTATTACAGCTGTAAGGGTTTTACTGGACCTCAGGATTATGTTTGTTTGGACAAGAAACTAATAAGTAATTTCCCTAATTCCTCAGAGAGTTCCCTTAATGATCCAGAGGACCACCAACACAACTAAACACAACTCAACACGCTTAACACAAATGGTTTTTATTCACATTTAAATACAGGGTCTTCACTGTACTGATCAGTTGAGTATTTCAATCCATTTGGGTTCAGATTCAGACCTCCAGCAGCCACTGTGCAGCAATTTTTTGACAGCTGCATGTATTTGTTGGATGCATTATTGTAATGTTACGTCTTTTTTTAAACTATAAGTGTCAGTGTTCTTGTGTCACCTTTTTCACCACCCTGTTTTCCACTGTGGCAGTGCTGTTTGCTAAGGGAGCAAACCATTGCAGGAAGACAGAACTGATTAGGATCATGTCCATTTTCATCTGTGTGTGCATCCATCTGCCCGCTACCCTTTTGTTTGAGAGGGGAACAAGAGAGCCACTGCTGTCCGCCGCAGCAGCGGGCCTCTCACAGAGGGTTCTGGAAACAGTCTGTTACAGTAGCAGCACGGTTGAATGGGGTCAGGTGAGAGGGGGCGAGAGATCCACACAATTCATTTTGACACTGACACTTGGGCTCGGGGCGAGCTGAGAGCTGGGCGGGCCTGTCTGTGGGCTCATTAACATTCCTCAGGTTCAGAACACACAGTCACTTATCCAGAGTAATGACTCAGGTAGATCAACACCTCATTACACAGATTGGGTTATCCTGCCACAGCCAGTGATCGATAGCAGGATTTTAATGTCTGTGGTCCGATTGAAGCTTTGCAATAAGTTTTATGCCAGCCTGTGGGTACTTCTGCTCCTCTGCAGGATTTTATTTAAAGACGGTAGAAGAAATATAAATGATGCATAGTTCCCAAACAAATACAAATTGCTTTGTGCCTTCAGCCAAAATATGTGTTGTTTTGTTTATAGCAACATAAAGCTTGTGCACAGATAAGGCCTGTCTCTGAAGATAAGAGCTCATGGTGTCTTGATATTTGTGATCATAATTTTACAAGAAAACAAGCATGATGACTATTTTTATGAACAAAAATACAACATACAAAGTGAGTAGTGACACAACCATTGTTGGGTCTGGTGGAAAGGTTCACAAAGTCAGCAGCTGCGTTCTTACTGGAGTATGTTCTGCTGTGATGGCGACTTGATAACCGGTCTTTGAACAGTTGAATGGACGACATCTTGTGCACTGATGAAGCAGAAAGCCATTGTGCAACATTCAAGGTTCTGGGACCTGCAGGTGCATTTATATGCAGGTGGCATGATGACTGCAGGCTTACCAGAGCTCTCCGCTCAGCTCTCACTTCTTTGCCTGCGTTCATTTTTGCCAGCTTTTAAAAACAGATGCTGAGGCACGGCATCGTTGACGGATTTCCCTCCGTCTCATTTTCTCTGTGAGGAGTGAGACAGAGTGACAGGGAGCGATACGGCGAAACGCATATGCAGAAAACAGGACTCACTGGAGTGTTGTCAGCCAGGGTTCTAACTCATGCCCATGCACTCTATTGCTCTGATCTTCTTTGAGGCTGGAGCACTTTTTAAAATGTCTTATCCAGACTGATATTAAGGGCTGTTTAAGTGGCAAGCAGGAAAGTGTTTCTGCACCCAAGCAAGTCTTTAAAAAGAAGATGTTACACAAGCATGTCATGAACCGTGAGCAACTGTCGGGGAGTGATTTGCAGTGAAGTGATGTAATCATAATAGCCTTAAACTGAAAGGGATACAAATCTATTGCAGTTAATTAAACTCTCTTTGCTGGTGGACGTATCCCCTCTTGTTTTCAGCCCGTCCTTATCTTACCTTTGAAGCTATTTTACTCACTGCAGTACAGACTCAGAGTATTTCTTTGCCTTGGGTTTTAATTACATAATAGTAACTCTAGTGACTGCACCTACTCTCTTACAGAGGTTCCCCTGATGATAGCCCAAGCGGATGGTAGAAAGCTGTCGCCCTGATTGCTGTTTGTCAGGCACAGCTCAACCTAAAGCAAGGTAAGCTTGTGTCCCTCAGCTCTCAGAAAATTCAATTTTATGAAAAAATGCCAATTATCTTTTAACCACATTACGTCCAGTAAGTGTCTTATTCTATTATGTCGTGTCTTTTTTTCTTGTTTCTAAGATGTCAACCGCAGCTGAAAATGGTACGGGAGGGCCTCGGAGCACTGGCAGAGAGAAAACGTACAAGAAGGTACAGCAGACAGGAGTCTCACTGTGATTGTTTTTTTATTCCCCTGTTATGAGGAATATGAACTTGGTCCCATAACATTTATTTTTGAATGCTGCTGTTTAGAGCCAGTACGCACTAAAAGACTTCATTTCTGAGTCACTTGAGTGCTTTAAATGTCCCTCTGCTGCAGCACATAATGTCCTGACCCCTATTTGGGCCGGCTGCCAAAAATCAGTCAAGTGCTGGTCACACATGTTTTCTTTACTTTCTTCTTTTAAAGCTGTAAACGTCACTGCTTACAGCAGCTTTTTTTTTTTAAGTTGTAACTATTAAACTCTATATGGTACAGTGGCTGGCTTTGTTTAGGTTGCGTCTAATGAGCCAGGAATATTTTTGTGGCTGTTACGCACCTAACAGCAATACTGAGGGGTTTGTTTCCCAGCCTGTAAAAGCTGTTGCAAGTTTGATGTGTTTGTGTGGAAATTGTTCCGTGCAGCTGTAGTTATAATGCACAGAGGGTATGAATGCTCCTTTTTTCCAGAGTTTGGTGTTGTTTCTTTGCTCACATTGAAATTGATATTCCAATCATGAATCTGGAAATGAATTTTAGACCGAAATACACTGCAGAGCAAAGCAGCATTGCTCATCCTTCAAGGGCCTGCTTTACTTTCCAGTCCTTCATATTTTCATTCATCACTGTGGATGTAATTGGCTGCTGTGACCGAGTGTTTCAGCCAAACTAATGTGATGTTTTCCCTGTAAAGACCACGTCATCGGCCTTGAAGGGAGCCATTCAGCTCGGCATTGGCTACACAGTGGGCAACCTCACCTCCAAGCCGGACAGAGATGTGCTTATGCAAGACTTCTATGTGGTGGAGAGTGTCTTTCTGCCCAGGTTAGGACACAGTATCAAGCCACTCATACGTACAAACACATCATACTAACACATACAGCTTCTGTCTGCAGCAACACATTTCAAAGTAAAAACCACGTCACTATATGAGCTATTTGCGTGCTGGATGTCTTGTTCACTGTTATTATGATAATAGTCAGACCTTTGCATAAGCTCAAGGTTAACTGCTGCAGACTGTGAATAAGAGAGTGGCTTCATAGAACAGATTATGTGTAGGTGGTAACAGGCGTTGGCAATTTGCTGGAGGACTGGACGCTTCAATTCAAATGATATGCTGAACTTCTGTCTGCTCCAGTATTTCCTTACTGGAACTGGTGCTAAATAATACTTAAGAACTGTTAATAATCCTGATCAGTGGAAACTGCAGCTGGTGAGTGTCCAGACTGCCACTGTCATCATTTATCGACAGAACACATTTTTGTTGTCAACGTCATGACGCAGGAATAGAACTATGAAATCAGCTTACAGTGTACCTCTTGCTGCTGCAGTGCACAGCACACATCAGTGCCTTCTCAGACCGCCTTCACCCTGACATCATCAGCTAAAAGAAACATTTAGTATCATCCAAAGTGTCCTCCAGGAATTCTTTAAAGGGGAAATTGTGCATAATCACATGTAATTACACACATTTGGCTTTCTGATAGCAGTGCGATGTGTTATTTTAATGAATACGGAGTAGGGATTTTCAAGCTTAAGACATATGGATTTTTACCTGTCCATCACATGAGCTCACTGATAACAGCAGTCATTGTTCAAATCTATCCGATTCCAAGCTTCTTTCACTTTTGTAATGATAACTTTTTATTAGTTCTGCTTGGCATTCAGGGTCATAAATCCGTTCACCCATTATCCTCATCAGTTAAAATTTTATGTGACTTAGGTCACATAAATAACTTAATTCTATGTTACCTTTTGCTCTTTAAAAAAGTTTCGATCGCTGCACTTTTGGTGTGATAAAAGCCATCTTAACTGAGATGTTCGAGCCAGCTGCACTGGGTGCAGTTGACAGGAAATGGTGGGAGCACGACTGAAAAATCAATTTTTCACCTGGGCATGTTAGGCTCAGAAGGAATAAAGGCCATCTGTCAATTGGGATGTCGATGGTTTGGTTCCTTGCTTCCCAAGATTACACGTCAAAGTGTCCTTGGGCAAGACATTGAATCCTGTGTTGCCTCTCATATGTAAAGGCCTTACAACGCTGGAGGTAAATCACAATTTTGCAATGCAAGGTCTCATCAAACAGAACTGGAAACTCGCAATCAGAAATCTTGTTAATTGTGACTTGAGAAGACGTGGAAATCATTTGATAGAAGTTCAGAAGTTTGAAGAAGTTTGTTTGTTGCCAAATACAGCCATCGTCCAAGGCAAACTTAAACTCTGAAGCTTCAGGACGGGAATTTTCATTCCCATCAGGAAGTACTTTGTAGTTTACCTTTAAGATACAGCACAGAGATATGCAAATTCAATATGGTTTTATGCAAACTTGGGCTTGACATGCACGCCAACCTGTTTTTCAGAAACAGCCAAGCTGAATTCTTAGTTCTGTAATGACCCTGGTGCGATGTGTCATGAAAATCTGCTCTGTTTTGATGTACACAATACAAATTTCAAATGAGAGCCTGAAGACCATATTTTATAATTTTGGAGGTAGTTTTTTTTTTAAGGGAAGGGAAGGAAAGGTTTGTGTGCGTGCATATCTTGTTTTTTTTTCTTTCTTCTTTTACTGCTGAATCACCTTCCTGAGAGAATGAGTGAAGGAGACCACTCTCAGGTACTCCCCTTCTGCCCTGTCACCACAAAGCTCCTTTTCTCCCTCTTTTCACGACCTCTGGAGGCTTATCTACTGCTGTTTCTGCTGTCAGTCCAGTCTGGGATGGCTGAATTTAACATATGACATAACATATCACTTCGACTTTGGCTTTTTTTGTTTTTCCTTTTTGTTGTGGGCTCCGCCCATAGTAACCACCACTCACTTCCTGCTGGCAGACACATATGAAAATGGGCTCTAGATTAGATTGAACATGCTGTGTATTGCTAAATGTTTCCCATGACACATAAGTGTTGTTGCCCACTCAATAAGGCTGTCAGATTTCTTTGTAGAGCAACGGCCTGCGTTGGGTTACACAGCATTAGCCGTTGCCTCCAACGGCACCTGCACAGCAGCATTGTTACCAAGGCCATTATCCAAGTAACCAGATTTAGAGGCACTGTAAAAATAAAAAAAACTATTAACCCAGTTCCACATTTGGCATTGACACAGCTGATTGTAGTCGGTTTATTTATGTAGTCAGAAGCCAAATCACTCTGTTGTGGTCCTCCAGTGAGGTCAGTTACAAAACAGGGCCAGTCTCCATCAGAAGCTCTCAATGAACATCTCGCGTCCAGGTTAGATTGCAAAATTTAGTTAAAAAAAAAAAAGATGAATTTAGTTGGTTCTTTTCACCTTTTTTGACCAAAGGCTCATGTGCTGCTGAGAATTGTTTAGCTCCAGTAATCTGAGCCATCACCAGTCTCCAGGCGAAGAATTCTACACTGGCCTGTTTGCCATCACAATGCTGGTAAATCTGAGCTCCCATAGTTTACTTCACTGAAGCGTGTTCATGCATGAATGGAGCAAATTACACGGAAGTCGGAGGGGTAGAGACCTAGATACAAAGATGTAGTGTTCCCTGCCCCAATCCTTCCTGGGACAGTCCCTATCTGAGTTACTGAGCCAGCTAGCTTTCAATGATGTGAAGTTTTTTAAATATTTTCTTTGAAATTTTATTGCAATAATTCATTTACTCGAAATGACATGCTTTTATTTCCTCTTGTCTTGTTTTTTGACACTGAACACCCCAGTGAGGGCAGCAACCTGACCCCAGCTCATCACTATCCAGACTTCCGCTTCAAGACTTACGCCCCACTTGCCTTCCGCTACTTCAGAGATCTGTTTGGCATCAAACCTGATGACTACCTGGTGAGATCAAAATCCCCCCGTGGCCTGGCTGGCCATGGTGATGATTAGAAATCTGCTTTTGGTTCTGCTTATTACCAACAATGTCTCACAGTGCCATTTAACAGTGGTTGTGAATGCCGGAAGGATGTGAGAGGAGTTAATGATGAAGTGTGACTTTATTATGAGAGCAATAATTGGGACGATGCTGAATAAAATCCACCAGTGATGTGATAGGTTTGGAAAGGCTTTTGACTTTTTAACAGAGGTATTCTGATAATTTATGTTGTCAACTTGTGATTTGGCCTTGCTGCCACATTTGTCTCTCCCCTACGTGCACAGTGCTGAATTCCTATTTAAAAAAAACAACAACTCTTTAAATTTTTTGGCCTTTCAGGAAAAAATGACCATAAACATTTTAAGCTATCTATAGTAAAATCAAAGAATAGACCAACACAAACCTAGTAAACATATAGAAAAACACACTCGGTACATGTCAGTTGGTGGCAGGAGTATCTGGTGGGACTATGTGTACCAGCAACAACCGCAACTAAATGTGACCCGTTGATTAGTTCTGCACATTTCTGGAGAGAACATATAGGAATTAGCCTTCTTAAAGGAATTCCAGCCATATTCTCCCTACAAAACAGCTTTAACTCTGCAGCTTCCATCACATGAACTGGTCCCTTTGATAACATTTCTATTGGATTAGTGCTTTTACTTGGTCCACTTGCTCTAAAGAGCTTTGGTGCAGATCCTGATTTCTTTTTTTTTCTTAAAAAAAAGATAATTTCAATAATTCAAAAAGTATAGTTCAAGTCATCAAGATGTCAAGGTATCCTGAACAATGCAAACAAAAACAGATTAAACCATGATACTACCACCACCAAGTTTTGAATATATACTGACAGCAAACAATGTTCTATTTAGAGAATTCTCATGAATGTAAACTCCATCTTAGAGAGTTTCCGTGTTTCCTAATAATCTTTGCTAATTATATAAACCTTGTTTATATGGTTATCTTTAATAATTACTCTTGGTATTGAGGTTTGAACATTTGTAAACAATCTGTCTGGCTAAAGACTGGTGGAGAATAAATAGTTTTGCAAACTCATCCGACAAGATGCCAATTATTTTTAATTTCAGATTTCCACAAAAGTCTCCCACCATTTTACCAATGACACATTTCAATAGACTGTTAGACTTGCCTGTTGTAGCAACAATTATTTTCCTCATTATAAGTTTTTTTTACTCATTCTTTTTGATGGGATTCATATAACAATCAGCTAAGCAGAAATGCAGAAATGAGGAAAAAACAGTCTTTGTGTGAAGTTTACATGACTTTGTCCTGTTATGACGCCGGTTTCCTATTTCCCATCTGGCCTCAAGCTTTCATGAACCCAGCCAGATGCGTTCTCTTTTTTTTAATACCAAATTTATTTCTACACAAATGATAAAAGAAATGTGACTTTAAGGCAGCAGAGGGAGGAGAGTTTGCTGCGTGTTTGTGTGTCTCCAGAGACCACAACAGAGTTTAATTGAAGGAGAGAATGTATTTACATGCAAATACAATAAACCGCAGACGTGTGTGTGCTGTTAAAACAACGTGACTGCACACTGCTGCTGGTGGAAAAGTCACTGGAGGAAAGGAACAGATGCAGCCAGTGTTTTTTTTCTCCTCTGTACATGTTGCTGTCGTGACGCCTCAATCAGCTTCTAACTCTTCTCACGAGTCTGCTGCTTCGACAGTCCGTCCAGAACAGTTTGGTGCCACTTTTTTTTTTTTAAAGAAAGGTTCTCAATCTGCTATAAATATTTTCTTATGCAATTGCCCTTCTTGTCCCCAGCTGAGAGGCTAATGCGTCAGTAGATGATGGCTGCCTTTTTTTGCTGGCTGCAGAAGCAGCTGTGAACACTACAACAACAACACAACGAAGATGGAGACATTAGAAATAGCAACAAAAAAACCCAATACATATTTTGTCTTAAGATATCCAACGATTTGGGCACTTGTTGCTTTCATTTTGAGCATCTACTTTAGAACAAGTTTGTTTTTATTTAATCTTATAAAAGTCAATGGCACCATCATTTGGAGTGAATTTGTTGTCAGACATTACTGTCCATTCTAAGTGTTGGACCTAATTTGAATCTGTATTCTATTGATTGCTAAGTATTTGTACACTCATAAGGGGCTTAATGTGGAGAAAATCCTTTTGTGGAAAGTATATCCTCAGCAGTTACACATCCTAGTAGTGTAGTTACACTACATTGTATTTATCATTGTAAGTAAACAAAAGAAAAAATAAGTGTTGGATTTTTTTAGTTATGGTTTCCATGTAAACCTTGAATATAGTTTTCATGTATTTTAGTGTCCCCATTCAAAGCCATTATGAGTATTTAAAATGGTATGTTCTATCTTTTTTCCTTCCTCAGTATTCCCTCGTAAATGAGCCTCTGATAGAGCTGGCCAACCCAGGTGCCAGTGGCTCTCTATTCTACCTAACCAGTGATGATGAGTTCATCATTAAAACTGTCCAGCACAAAGAGGCCAAGTTTCTACAGAGGCTGCTACCTGGATACTACATGGTGAGGAGCTCTAGCCTAAAATGTGATGGAAATGTGATGGAAGATTAATCAAAGATTCAGACAATTTGATCAAATAAATGCAGATTTGAATCCCATTGTGTTTCTATTAATCAATCCTCCAGCATGTGGTAATTAAGGGTTGTTCAACCACTAATCTTTTTTATTTCAGAGCCATTCCATTTAACCACAGGTTGTTTTTAGGATGTTTCATGAGCTAGATAAGCAGGTTTCAGTTTATATTATTTAACTATTTAAGGAGTTTAAAAGTTTGAACCAATGGAAATTTAAATAAAAAAATCTTGAATCAATTTAAACTTGTAACTGCGAATAACAGAAAGTTGTGTTTGGGGTTTATTTAAAGGTGTGACAGGACATTAAAGACTAAATAAGCAAAACGCAAACAATATTAACAACATACATTCTAAAATGCTGATGATTGAGTCTCAAGCTGAAGCCGTGCTCTCTTCAAATCCCCAGAACCTGAACCAGAATCCACGCACACTGCTTCCCAAGTTTTACGGCTTGTACTGCATCCAGTCTGGTGGCATCAACATTCGACTGGTAGTGATGAACAATGTACTGCCTCGCTCCGTCAAAATGCACTACAAGTATGACCTGAAGGGCTCCACCTACAAGAGGCGAGCGTCCAGGAAGGAGAGGGAGAAAGCTTGTCCGACCCACAAAGACCTGGACTTCCAGGACATGCACGAGGAGGGGCTTTACTTCGACACAGAGACCTACAACAACCTGATGAAGACTCTGCAGAGAGACTGTCGGGTACGTGGCGAGCAGGTTTTTGCAGGTGCTTGATGAAGTACCCTCCAGTCAGATATTATCAACAGATCTTAAAGGCTTGGATCAGTCCATTTTGGTTTTAGAAAAAACAATCAAGTGTTTTGTGTTGTGTGCTGCAAAGCCTGACATGACCATGAGTTCATGACGTGTTCTCAGATCTTTTTAGAATTTCTTTCAACTCGGGAATTCACCAGAATCAGGGGTCAGATATTTTGAAAATATGTCAGTGATCTTTCCTTAACGTGTCCGATTTCCATTTTCTCAACCCGGATGGCAAAATCTGTTGTTCGAACTGGAATCCGATCAGGATGGTGCTTCAAGTCTGGGCAAGGCCAGAGACGCTTTGCTTCCTGGAAGGGTTCCTGCTGCACAGGCCCAACCTGCCCGACCTGACAGTGTGACATGGGAGCATCCAGCTAACAGTTTAATGACTTTCATTACGGTGGATTTGACATTTGAATTTTTAGCTCAGGGGAATAGAAATCCCTGATTGATGCAACATGGTGAAGAATTAGAGTTAATGAGCAGTGTGATGCCGTGTGTATATTTAGTTCAGCATGTTAGGTAACAGAGCGGTAATCTGTTGACTTCTCATGAAACTTCACAGCAAGGTTTCTTTTCTTTTAGCGTTTCAGAGTAATGGATTTGCTTATGGTACAGAGTTGTCCTTTTAGTAGAATCAAATGTGTTTCCAGGAAAGATTTGAACAGCTGTTGCTTTTCCCACCTTTTGAAACATTTCTCGGTCACAAATATCTCGGTCACAAGTTTTTAAAGGTCATGTTTTTATGGAAAAATTCACGTTATCTCCTCTTTCACTTACATCATGACCCAAAATGCTAACTTTAGTCATGTTTTTCCTGTAGGTTTTTTTAGTGTTTTCTGTAGCAAGAGCGAGGTTCCCCCTGTTTCGCTAAGTCACTGCTTCCTTAATGTTTAACCTAGCAGCACACACATAGGCACAGGTTTTTCCAGAAGTCGAACCCAGCATACACAGCCTACCCTCCATGTGTGGATACGAGCTCAAAAGATATGTGCCATAAAGTTTGTGGCGCGGCCCAGACTGTTTATCAGCTGCTGTTCGAGCCTCTGCGCTGTACAGTTTGTTATTGTTAGGGCTTCCTGCACTCGCATCCTAAGCGGGAAGCAAAGTGCCCTCTAAGCAGAAACTCTGTCTATTTCCATGAGTAAGCAGCTAACCCCATCACCTCAGAGGGGGACCTAAACATAGAGGAAAGGTTGAGCAGAAGTGAGAGCCAAGGAAGTAAGGAAAAAAAGGCTATTTTTCTTGAAGGACGAGATGAGAATCAATTCCAGACCGCAGATTATGCTTCATTTTATTTTAGTGGTACATGGTGGAAGGTCAGAGTTGAGCTGCATGTAGAATGTTGGAAGAAGAGGAAAGAAGCATGCATGCCTTTCCGCTACACAGGACACTTACTAGTAAATGCAAGCAATGCCATTTCCCCCTTTTAAGTCTCTTCCCAACGTCAGGCTGTAGCTCCCCTGATAGTCCTCAAATGGCAAAACAGCATTAGGCATTAATAATTCATGTAGAACTTACCGTGAGAGTGAAACAGAGAGGGTTTCTTGTGGAGTGAGTGTCTGTTGGTACCACAGATGTGTGACTTGTAATTGAGAAGTGCGTCCCTGTAGCATCACAGCAACATCAGCGGCCAACGGTGAGACAGACATCCCAGTGAGAGCGGTGTGGGCGACGATGTCCAGCTGTCCACACACGGCCAGCTTCATCTGCCGGGAGGAGCTCAGGCTGCGTTTCAGGGAGATGATTTAGTTTGCGGGCGAAGAATCTTAGTGTCAGACACCAACAAGTGCACAAATGGAAGTAATCTCATCATGCAGAAATGTACGAGGAAAGCAATGACTTCGTGAACAACTTCAGCCATCTCTCCCTGTTGCGTCCCTCTGACTCGTGCAGCCCAGAAACAACTCCAGTTCAGAGTTTGACCACGTGTGAGAAGCTTGATTAAAAATGTTCTCACCATTTGTATCTGAGGAAAGTTTGAAAATGACTGCCCTCATATTCTCTGATGGTTCATTATTGGAATTATAACTGCCAGAAATGGGTCTTCGTGGAGATTTGTGTGTTGAATTCTTTGAGATGTCATCTTATGATGGATATGTTCTCACTTTTACATGTGCTTGGGGTAACCTAAGACAGTCTTATTTTAATAGATTACAACTGATTAGCAAAAAATCTAAATGAGGGTCAGCAGAATAGGAGAAAAAGGAGCAACAGGAAAGGTTTATTGGAGTAGTGCTTAATCGATTGTGAGAGGAGTCATTAGTGCGGTCCAAGAAAGTGAACAATTCTGCACAACACTCAGATTTAAACTTTTCATGTCATATCTACATCTTAAATCATGTGGAGCAGGTTAAATGAAAGAATATTACTTAAGCTTAAGAAAAGAAAACAAACTCAGACTGAAGAAAGTGTACAAGTGTCACTGCAAAGGGAAGTTTTGGAGACAGCACAATGGGAAAGTCCATCATCAGTGGCAGTGCTTGAGGGTGGGATGCAGCAGAGATTTGGAGCACAGAGTGCTGACACAAAGCTCGGTTACAGTAGAGTTGGCTCTCCCATTGACTGTAAGAAAGCTGAGCTGTGTTTGAAATGTGAGCAGAGGGCTGGCTGCTCCGCAGAAAACGCCCAAACACTGGACTTGCCTCTAAGGAGCAGCAAGGTTACACTCTGAATTCAGAATTATAAGAAAAAAAAATGTAGCACAGATAACAGAAATGTGTCAGTTTATCTTTTGTGATGGTGTGATTGTCTGCTGGGGAAAGCTGTGCTCCGGAGACATAGTAATGGCTTTCTGTAGGCAGAGTGGTGTGTGTGGCTCTATTCAAAATGGTTGCTGTTTGAATAGGCTGAGGGAGTTCGAGTGAGGGGATGCAAATTGTTGATATGGAAGAGGCAAAGTGCAAACAAAAGCCTCAGTGTTTTGTTTCAGTCAGTTACACAAAAACTCTGTCTTGCGTTTATGTGTATATGAATGTGTTTTATTGAATCTTTACGCTATCAGTGCCCTCTATTCCACAGGAAAAATGATCAACTCTTATGTAGATTAGAATTTCTTTGCCTACTGATTGTTTTCTAGAAAAAGCTTGTTAATGTTTCTGGGTGCTGGCTCACGGCTCTCTCTGATTTAGCCTGACTCTGCCTGACTTTAGTGTTGTCTGTTATTGTTGGATTGTGTTTCTGAATAGCCACGACCAGGAATATGAGCTATTTATAAATTGTCGTCACAGTGTTTAGTTTGTAACATTTGTTCCTTTAGGCAGACTGCAACATACCACAGAAAAAAACTATTGATAAAGTAATATCAATACTCAGATCAAGCCTGTCCACCACTGCTTAGATGTAATATGATTAAAAAATGAACAGTTTAGAGTAACATTGTTAAAATGCAGACCAGGCAGTGAGTCAGCACGCCTTTCATTACTGAAATTTAGCTCATTAATACGTATTTTTGTCATTTTTGCTGTGGTATTTGTGCGGTTATATGTTTAATAATATCAACACTACCCAAAGGTACTATATTGAATCTAAAACAGGCCATACATTTGTTCAGGTCATAGTTTTAACTTTGACCATTTAACCTCTGCTGTGGATTGCCATCTAAACAAAATACTCCTCCTCAGCTAATCTGATGCAGATTTAAAGTGATCTCGTCCGAGATCAGGGCCTTGGGCATTTGATCGTTGGTTTCCAATGTTGTGAGGATGGATATGTGCACCAAAATTCCTATTTGGTGCACAGAGTTTCTATTCTCGTGCCGTATTAAGTCAAGAGTAAATAGCATGTAAGTTTTTTTTGTGCGTTTTTTTTCATTTCCCATTTCTACATTATGAGCTAAACCTGGTTACTTGGGACTGATCCTGATTCCTTTGATTTTCTTTGAATCTCTCTCACCCTCTCCCACCAGTCTGTTAAAACCACTTTTCTCAAGACCTTTGAGACATGAAGTCACAGAGTCTCTGGGAAACTGGGCTAAAGGCTCCTCGGGCCGCTCAGTCTGTAACACTTGGCTCTCTGTGGAGAAACACCTTGTTTGTTTAGCTCAGAGCAGGTTTAAACAGAGATTTCCCTCTGCTCCGACTCTCGTCTTTCGTGGCACCAAAGGGTGTGGGGCAGATGAAGGGTTTCGGGAGGAAACCAATGTAACGATGTTTATTATTTCGTGATGTGCATGGTGAAGTAAACTATGTGTGTTTGCATGTAGGGGTTGCTGGGAATAAAGCGCTCTTTCTTGTGGCGGGTGCATCCCAACAGGTCCTGGAGAGTTTTAAAATCATGGACTACAGTCTCCTGCTGGGCGTGCACGTCCTGGACCAGAGCCACAGGGACGGGGGGGAGCCGGGGCAGGCCGGGGGGGACGGCAGGAGGCCCGTGGGTCAGAGGGTGCTTTACTCCACGGCCATGGAGTCCATCCAAGGAGACGGGCGGGCTGCCGAGGCCCTGACCACTGACGACACGTGAGTGGGCTCGGCGGGGGGGAGACACACACATGCTGCATTATGCACTCATATTAGGGGCGCTCCGCCTCCGTCTGTCTCCTATTCTCCGCTTTTTTCCCTCACAGGCACTGTTATACAAGCGTGCTCATACCTCACCCAGGGCACACAGTCAGGCTCTCACATAACCATAGCTACACAAACACAAACACAGTCTCTGTTCTGCCTATTTACAGAAATGCACTCCAATGTAAATAGTGTAAGTACCGCTTTGACAAACACTTGTAAAAAGTGAAGCGGCGCGCGGGCTTCGTTCGAAACAACTTTTCCAGCCTGGCAGAGGAAGGCCAGCTATAGACTGACCGCTGTTGTGCGTTCCCTCTGTTTCAGGATGGGTGGCATTCCTGCCAAAACGCACAAAGAGGAAAAGCTGCTCATCTTCCTGGGTATCATAGATATTCTGCAGTCCTACAGGTACGACCGAACCCCCTGTACGCGCTGCGTTTCTTCCCCTGTGCTGCTGCCTGCATGCTGTCTCTGATAAATCTTCACATCTGGGTGCCGTTTGCAGTTTCATAGGAGTTGCAGTTCTGATTGATCCCTATCCTTTTACTAAACCTCTTAAGTTGATTTATCGTCATGCGCTGATGGAAAGAGCTAAAAGACAGTGAACCACAATCTTAAAGAGACTGAAGATTTTTTTCCCCTATCCAACAATATTTAAAGTGTCAATAGTGCCCTTTCGTTCTTTTTTTTATTTCTCTTTACTGTTTTTTTCTTTTCTTTTTGCCATGAGAGCAAGAGAGTCCAGTGACAGAGGAAGCCCTGTGGATCAATAGCTTTTCAAACGCATGGGCATTTAAGAGCATCACATAAATCCTTTCCAGGCTGGTGGGTCGATGCATCAGATGCACACTGTGCAGGAGGAATGAGCCCAATTAAAGCGCTCACGTGTCCTCCTGCGTTTCTGCTAGATTGCTTGACTTAACGTTGACCCGGCAGGATTAGATGACTAATACTTAGTCTCCCGCTACAGTTTGTGAAATTGCTTTAGTTTTAGGCTCACTGGGGGGGGAAAGAGGACGCCTCTAAGTTTTGACCGAGCTCGAAGGGGGAAGTTGTAAAAGCGACTGCGTTTGTCACAAGGCAAACCTTTGTGCTGTTGTCTGTCCTCAGGTTCATCAAGAAGTTGGAGCACTCGTGGAAGGCCCTGGTGTACGATGGCGTAAGTTGATAGCCCACCCAAGTGTAGTGCCCCTCCTTTTATGAATGACTTCTTTATTTGGACGGTTCTTCTCGAATCTGAAGTCCGGCTCGTCTCTTGCTCGTCCTCAGGACTCTGTCTCGGTCCACCGGCCAGGGTTTTACGCCAGCCGGTTCCTCAAGTTCATGACCACGCGCGTTTTCAGGAAGACTCACCGTAAGTTGAGCGCGCGTGAACACTAAATAAAAGAGTGAAAGCAGAGTGAGGTGGAAAGCGGGATAAATCTGTCATTAGACCATCTTTGTGGCACGTGAAACACTGTGTAAAAAATGTCATTAGATTAGTGTTAATGTGTTTAGATCATGTATATGAGTAAAGCATACATGAGATGGAAACAAGTTTAGTTTGTCATACCCCTTTAGTCCAGCAGAAGCTTTATTTTGGTGCTGGTGGGACTGTGGAGAAGGTGGCATGCAGAGCTGATCAGAGCATGACAAGCTGGCTGCTCCTCTGCCATGTTCAGGGTAAACATGCTGGGAGCATATTCACTGTGTCATGTGAGGGGCGGTAGGTAATACCAGGAGGCACGTTTGGAGCTCATTCTAAGCATGGAATATAGAGACAAATGTTATCCGACCACGCATGACCCCTGATGAAATGAACAAGGCTGAGTCCTGATTTAAGGATTTATTTAGCTACGCTACCAACCACAGCCGGGTCGTGCCAACGGGAGATGACAGGAGAGGATGGTATTTCATGTTCTTCTTTGGGGGGCAGAACACAGGCAGCTTTTAGTCCACTTTCACAGTCTAACAGCTTAATATCTGCCACTGCTAACAATGGAACTCTATTTTAGTTCCATTGTGTGCGAGTCTCCGCTTATTTTCTCCCACAATTATTTCCCCCATTCTGCCTTTTGCTGCCACTTTTCCTCATCTTTGCTTTTTCTGACTTGAGTGCCTTTTTTTTTTTTTTTTTGCTTCACAGCACTTCGATTCTCGCCTTCAAAGAGGACTCGCACTTCCATCCCTGCTCTGAAGTCGTCTTCACAGGAGATCCTTTCATCGCAGGCGGATGAGAGGCATGAGGAGGACAGGCGGGAGAGGCTGGGAGGGGCGCGCAGCCTGGCCAGTCTGGATGGACAAGGTACAAAAAAAACAAACAAGCTGTTTAGATGACGATTGTTCACCTTAGGAACATTTTTCCCTCCAAATTTTATGAACAGATGAGCATCTATCCATAGAAAAGTCTCGTCATTCTGAGAATTTATTTATACTTTAAACAGATGAGTAGATAAACACTGTCCTCTTGAATTTAAGCTCTTTAAAACACTTTAGAACCACAAACAATCTCTTTTATGAACGTGACCACGTGTCTTGTAATCAGGAGCAGGGTGAAGCCGTCACAGGTTGGTCTAGTGTGTGCCGTGGTGGAAAGGAAACAGAGGCCTTTTTGGGTAGTTTTTCTCTCTCCAGTACAGTTTTGGTGAACGTGCGCCCAGCTTTCTCTTCCTTTTTCTAGCAGTCTTCCACAATCGTCCTTCTGACCGCAGCTGGGCGTCCTCACCGGATGGTAGATGAATCAGAGGGTGAAAGTGCTTCAGAGATGAAGTAAAGCAGTTCTATCTGACCTTTGAGTTAGGATGTGATAAAGGAGTGTTAGCCAACACCAGACCGGAAGAAACAAGGGCGTGGATGCAGTGTCCAAAGACATGTCACATGACATTGTCACGCGTCCACTTTCCTTTATTAACTGAGGGCTCATCCACCTATGCCTCCAGCTCTGACTCTCCATAACACAAAGCTAATTGGATTGCTACACCTCCTGATTAGCCCTTTCTGGTTACTGAATGTGTGTGAGAGGGTACAGAGGAAATTAGTTTTACTCTGAAGTGAGAGGCTGACAGAGAAACACGCTGATTCTATTGGATCCCTTTGATCCATTAAATTCAATTGTTGCTCCATGCTTTGTCTCAGCCATTAGGTTTTTGCTCAGTCTCTGATATGGACAGCAGAGCTGGGAGAGGGACAACAGGGTCAGCGACTAAGGAGCAAGTTTTCGTGTCAGTGATCAAAGGTTTGGGAAGCCTGTGAGGAAAAGTTGCCGAGTTCTGATTTCTGCTAGGCCTTTCAAAATTTTAAGCTAAATGACTTTGAATTATTCTATATTAAATAAGTTTCCGAAAGCACCATATTTATCCAGTATCACAGCTGGTGATTTCTTTTAATCTTCCTGAAGATCTTCCCCTGTAAATAATCAGGTTTCTTGTCTGTCTGAGGGTTTTCTTGGTCCACCAAACTTCAGTTTGGACCCATTGTTCTTGTCAAATGTCATTTTCTGATTACTTCTTGAAAAATTCCTGCCTTTCCGTTGGAGAATTGGACATATAAAGAGAATTGTGTTATTCAGGTTAAATGAGAAGCCATTGTGACTTTGTGTTTTTTTGTTCTTCTCCTCCTCAGCTGTATTTGGTTCATATCTTCGTCCGGATTTAGTCCCTGCCAACCCCTGCTTCTACGAGGGCTCCTCCATGGGGACCATCTCCACCTCCTCCATCTTTGTGAATGTGGACAACCAAACAGAAGAGAGGTAAACACACTTTGTCTCCCTTTTACACTCTTTTCTTTTTTTATTATGCTCAAAAGTGTGTCACCTTGTAACCATGATGCATGGCTACTGTACGCGGTGTGGAAAACACACACCTATGCTCAAACACTCCCAGGTCGGGATCGCTTGTGCTCAAACGTGACGTGTTCTTATCAGTGACACGCGTCATGGAGCCGGCGACTCGGCTGGCCTGCCAGTATTCATCCAAACGCCACTCACTGTGTGCACAGTGTGACGGCCGGCACCGTTGTTGTGTTTAATTTACGAACAGGTGTGGCTCAGTCCCCCTGAACATAAGTCTTTCCATGACAGCAATACTGGCTTTTGCATCGAGCAGAAAATGTCCACCTTCCAGTCGTTTGTTTCTCCCAAAGTGGAGTCCACACAATTTATTGCAGGCCTTTATAAGTTATGTATTGCCTCATTCTCCCACAGCATTCAGAGTTTTCCATTAACAGAGTTTATGACATTGTCAGCGCCCCTTCTTCACACCTCTGGAAGCAGGCGGCTTCATTTCGCTCTCCTTTGTCCTCTGCCCTGTGTTCCTTTTTCATCTTTCACCTCTCCTCCTGTCCAGCGGTGTCGGGTTCGGCCCGCTCTCTGAGACGCCATTGTGTGGCTTTGTCCAGTCTTGTCCCTCTCATCAGTCACCTGCTGCCGCCCTGACATTGTTCCCTCAACTGTTACCATAAATATTTAAACAGCAGCTCTGACACAGTCCTACACGGTGCCATTATGTGGCGTAAACGCCGTGACAAAGGAGGACAAGCGCCACGGCAGCGGCTGGATGTCGGTCAGCCATTAATCCCGCCTGACAGCCGCTCGCCTCGTTACGGCAGCGCCTGCGTCAGGTGAGCCGGGCCGCGGGAAGCCGCTGTTTACCTGGATTTACCCAAATCCATCCGTCTCTTTATACCACTTCACTCTGCTGCTCTCTTCCTGGAACTGGTTTAGACTTTGAACGTCATAAATAGACGCCTGGATTTCTCAAATAAGCTGATGTGCATATTGGAGAAACAGCTCTCTATTTGCCATCTAGTGGTTCAATTGTAGCTATGAAGAAGAATAGTGCACAAACACAGTTGTAGTCGGACTTTCTGATGTGCGAAGCTGCATGTCCACCCTTCAGTATATAAAAAAAAAAAATACTAGCAAATGAATTTCTCTGTTTATATTGCTCGGGCTACAAGGAATCATTTACAAGAGACTTTCCAAAGAAGCTTGTTGTTTTGAAAGAGTCATCACAGCCAGAGCTTGCCAGTCAGTGCCAGAATTTGCTCACTTCCTCAGAGACATTTCTCAGACTATGAGCCTCTAATATGAAGCCTCCATGGCCTGACCCCAGTCAGGCTTCCTGTCCCCCCTCGCAGTCAGCTTAAGTCCTTCGCATGTTTGATGTCATAGTCTCGGCAACAGTGTGTGATTTGTTCCTGGGGATCCGGTTTTTCATCAAACCTTAAGCGGTGTTTGTTCAGCTGCCTGGCTTCGGCCGCCCTCGGCTCAGACGGCAAACGCTCGGGGCTGTCTCCCACCTGACGGGTCCGTGTGCCGTCCCGTTTCAGGGAGGACGTCGCATCCAGCTCCACGTTCACCCTGGAGGACAGCGCGATCTGCCTCACCTCGGAGCAGAGCACCATGGATGTGGACATGGATCGCGATGACGGATCCATACTCGATGTCTACTTGGTGAGCCGTTCACTTCTTGTTTCAAGTCCCACCGAAGTTACTTTTGTTATTTTTTTTTGTGTGTCCTTTTTAACAGCATGTCCTTCTTTCCCTGTAGTGAAAAGAGCAGCTGGACATCTTTCATTTCCTCCTGCCATGCAAAAGACAATCGCCACGCTCCACTGGACGTGCCCGGCTGGCCTCTGACTCCACTGAGTGCTGCTAGATCCACGTCGCCACTCGTATTTGCCAACACGTAGAAATAGAGAGAGATTCTCTTTGGTCCACGGACCGTGACAAAGTCATACTGATACAGTTGTGACCAGAACCATGTGACATAATGTGTATTGTGCTGAACTTGAGGCTGACTTGAGTGTTGCTTTATAGAGCATCCATAAAGTTTTATATATGTTTACTGTTTTCATGGTCAAAACAAAGCTTGGAGGTTTTTCTTTATACCTGCACAAATGCACATATATATATAAATAGATATCTATACAACGATATCTATTTATATATGTACTTATAGGTATTTTTACAAGGGGAGGTTAGATACAGACATTTCCTTTTTGTTTCTGATGATCAGAAAGATGTTAAAAAACCAATGAGAAATGTTTACAGCACATTTAAGGTGGCATCTTTGTCCGTACTGAAGAGGGACTCGACGCAGTCACACAGAGGACAAAAGCCAGTTTGACGCCACAGCCAACATGGATGAAGACTCACATGGACCGACTTAATTCTGCAGCTACAAAGCCCGAGCACAGACCGCGGCCAGCTGGTCCTGACCGGGCAGCTGGTCCTGACCGGGCAGCTGTTTGTGCGCCCGAAAGGAGCGAACTGCCCTGAAGTCAGGATGGACAGCTACCAGGCGCAGAGCCGAGGGACAATGCACTTGCTCTTGACAAAAAATGGCACTTTTGAAATTGGTTATGATTACTGTAAGAATTTTTTTTTTTTTCCCAAAGGACATTGCTTAGGTGGGCAGTCTACCTGACATAAGCACAGATTTGGATGTGTGAACATGCACTTTTTCTTTTTTCTTTACAAATGCACACCTTTGTTTGTCATCGATACTACATGTAGACAGACAATGAAGGAAGACTTTGGATCATTTTTGATGTGGGACTACTCGTTTGTGAGGTTTGCGTCATAACTGAGGAGGCTTTTACTCAGGATTTCCTTTGATACTGAATAAGTGTGTCCTCTACAAGAAGTTATGGGGCATTCTGCTCTCGCAGCTGTCTGATACCTCTTCATCAAAATCACATTCATCTATAAATGTTCAACTCTACGATCACACGTCGGTTGAGATAATTTATTCTGTAAATCTCAATATTTTACCATTTGCAGAAAAAATGTAATCACTGAATGTAAAGACAATGCATATTTATATTTAGAAGCATCCTATAAATAAAGCCCGTAAAGTCAATGTCTGCCCTTCTTCTGATCAACTTGACCATTGCCTTTTATCAATTCTTGTAATTGTTTGATTACCATTTGATTGACCTGTTTTTTCCTCTTTGAAAAACATCCTATTTTTTAAAAGTCTTATTCTAATAGTTACAAACAGCTGACTGGAAGCAAGAGGAATTATCCCTAAAGAAAGTTAATTCCATCATTAGATCAGTGAAAGAACAGCATGTGCATTCAGCTTTGTTGTGTCATAATTTTAATTTACAGAACATTATCAAACTGCCTTACATTTAGAGCAAATAATATTTCTGATGTACAACTTAGAAATATACAAAGAATGTAGATTACTGACAAAATACAATTAAAAACACTAACTGCATTCTTCAGCTGACATTACTTGTAGATCTAGCTTGTTATGATCAGCAGAACAATGATCCAGAACTTTCCAAACCTCTGACCTAAGAAAATCTCAGTTTTTTTCCCCAACCATTCAGATCAGCTGATTGCAGAACGCCCAACTTTTGATGGCAATGAACAGTGTAGTAAAATCAAGCCATGAGGTAAAATGATTTGACATCCTGACACACCCCTCTCACCAGCTTAATTTCAGTGTTGATAAATGCACATCTGGTGGCTGGAAAGTGGAGAAATCCAGGACTTGAAAGGTTCATCCCGGTGTCTAAGGCATTCTGGGGGTGGTTATCAGTCAAAGGGCAGGAGGCCACTGCACTGTAGTGTGTGTGAAATGTAAAACAATGCAGGACAGAGAGCACAGGGAGTGGATGACTCTTTGTCGTTGAACAACTTCCCCTTGTCCTCACAGACAGAACACATTTACAAACCTCACACTTATGAACAGACACATTTCCTCTGCCTCACAAAGGTCTGAGGATCAAAGTAGAAAAAACTGCTGTATAAAGTTGATCCACTCATCTCTCAAAGAAAGAGAGGACTTCTTTTATCAGACGCCTCGGCTGGTCATCTGCGGCAGCAGCCTGAGGCCAGAGCCCAGATGACCGCAGCATAGCATCTACAAATCCCAACTAACCATCCCGTCAGTTTATCTGTGTCAAAAATAGTCCAAAGAGTTCAAGAACAAACTCCCTCAATCCATCATCTCCCCAGCCCACAGCTGACACCTAATTCAAGCATTTAACAGTCAATAATTCACATTTCTCACATTGGTGCTCTAACTGAAAACTAACTCCGTACAATACATTGTGTCCATAGTGCTCTCTGAAAGATGATTCACAACAAACGAGAAATATAAAGATTTCAAAGCGTTAGCCTCCAACACCCATTTGTGAGGAGTCCTAACAATAGGGACAGGAAAAGGCAAAAAAAAAAAGCTCAGCTTAAACGTTGGAGCTTTTTTTTTGTGAATCTCTACTTTTCGTTCAAATGGTTGTCAACTTAGCAGCAGCAAAAACAAGTAGCTGTAATACTAGTGATTAACCCAAAACCCTTAGAGTCAACTTGTATGAAATCAGAGGAAATGTACATAGCAATTTACAAAAAAAACAAACAAAAACAAAATGCAGAGAATTGTTAACATTTCAAAAACTGCTTCAGAAAAGTTTGAGTTTACATAAAATGCACTTTCATGACCAACAGATGGTGCTAGGCCATTAACAAGGAGCTGGGTGGTGAGTACTGATGCATTAAAGCTGTAAAACCAGTCTCGTCTTCACGCAGGCGTCCTGTGGGGTGGTAATAAGGAGTCCTGATTATGCCATGTGTCCATCAGGAGTCTGCTGGATGCGATGATTTCTCTCCTGCAGGCAACCTGGAAACAGGAGGGAGAACTGAGCCCTGAAAGAAACAGAACACTGTGTACCTGGAAATGCTCTCCCTGTCGGACTAGCTGCTTTTCCTTTACAGAGTCTTGGTCCCTGCTTACCTTCTTGTGCTCAGAAGAGGATGGACTTCCCAGCAGTTTTTTCCTGAACGTAGGAGGTGAAGCGTTTGAGGAACTTGGGATACTCCCTCTTGGCCACAGCTCTGAGGACTGAAGCTGGAGCCCAGCCTCCCGGGTTTACTGCCGCCACAAAGAGAATCATTAGCAGGAAACTGTGCGTTCATCCGGATTCATAACTCCTGTTTAATCTCAACCCGATGCATCAGTACTCCGAGACTGTGGGGGAGCCCTCCAGAGAGCAGACAGGATGTTCTGCCCCACCAAACCAAATCCCATGACCTTCAGTGGCCTCTGGATGGTCAGTGCTGCTGCTGTGTGGTGAATCTTAACATCGCTGCCTACATGAAGTGTGTGGAAGTCATAGTCTGTATTGTTCTAAAGTCCTTATAATAGGATTTTCTTCATTTCTCCTCCCTGTATCGATATACCTGCTGCAGCTTTAACAGCCAACCTTACGGTCAGTTGAGTTTTAATTCTATGGAGCTCGTAGGTACAGACATTTTTCTCTCAGCTGCTGGACAGGACAGGTACTTACCATTGGCAACATATGTGATCTTACAAAGGATGTTGTCCCTGCTTATCTCTTTATCTCCCTCTGGTGGGCTGACCAGAGTTTGGCAGATCATGGCAACATTGATTTTGGCACGGACACACCGGTTTGTGGGCTGAAAATTAAACAAAAAACAAGGCCAAGTATGTATGAGTCTTTCTGTGGCTGAACGTAAGAGAGACTTTGATTCCTAGAGTCTGATATTCTTTTGTCTTACATTTAGAGATGGGAAAAGACCCAGCAAAGCCATGCTGGGTCTCCTTTAAAGGGAAAATCGTGGGGGAAAATCCATTCATTTGTGGAATTATGCTAGGTAAGAAATAAGAGAGGGACAATTCTGTTCCCCAATTGTTTGCAGCTTTCAAGGTAATGGTCAGTTATTCTTTCATTCATTCTGCTGATATTGATAGGGCAGGAAGGATGAGTGTGAGCAGGCTGTAGCAACAAGATGTCCCTTCAAACAGCTTCTTCACTGTTTAACACATTTTTAATTTCAAGAATAAAGTTGTTTTTAAGAGTATAGCTTCAAATTGATAAAAGCAGCTCTAAAACTAATATATTTTTCAATAACTGTGGCCCACATCACAGCTCAGACTTATGGTGGTGCGTTTGACTTCTCATAGGTTTTTGAGTATTTCTGCCACCATCTTTTCTGACCTTTATGATTATATCAGCCAAGTTCGTGAAAAACGACACAGAGAAATGTCTTCAGGAGGATGGTCTATCAACTCTTCGATTGATATGACGACATTTTTAAAACTAAATGTGAATAGGAGCAGCTTATTTGGATACTGAGCTGAAATAATATTCGCATTTAAAAAAGTGTAGAGAAAGGATTTTGAAAATGGTGTTGAGTCCTCACGTGTTTTGGCGTGAGCAGTGATATGTTTCACAAAAAACTAAGCAACGCAGTTTGGTCATAGCATGTTGATTGATAATACTCAACAACAGCTGAGTACAAAAATATATATATAGTTAATGTTAAACTGGAGTAATTTTCAACTCTAAAAATACTGTTTAGTAATGACTAAAAACTGCTGTATTCAATTAGATGATTAAGGGGAAAAAAGGCAAGAGAAAGAATGAAAAAACAGATGCTGTGTGTGGTGCCCTTACAGGAGCATTGTCGTGGTCCACAGAAAAGTTGCAGACCAACCACGTGTCAGGATCGTTTTCGTTTGTGGCCAGAATCTTCCGGATGGCTGACAGATAGAGCACATCTCTCTGAGAGGCAGGCCACACTCTCTGAAACACAGCCAGCCACGGTTAGTCAGCGCCAACCGGCCGCCAGAGAGCACTGAACAAGTGTGCAACATGCTTGAGCTAAACAGTAGCGCACAGTAAACTAACTCTACCTTGTGTGTCTGGTAAACAATGATGGCATTATCAGAGAGTGTTTCCACAACGTTGAAATTTTCGATGGTGGCTGAGGGAGGAAGAGCTCAGTTTAGTAAAATCATGACACTGAAACTGATGAAAAGTGGATAAGACGACATCTTCTGACACCAAAAACTTACTCTCCCAGTCCATGCGGACGGCTGTGTCCCAGAAGTAGTGGCAGACCTCATGCCCTGTTACCCCTTTAACAGAATGAGTGGCTTTCAGGGGATCGAGCACGATGCCATTCTCCTCCACTTCTCTCCTGTAAACCTGGAAACCATTAAGAGGAACACAAACAATCAGAATCTACCACAAAAATACATATGTTAACAGAATTACTGGTACTTGGACATCAGAATGGTTTAATGGTTCAATCAGTGGCTCTTTAACAACTGACGTATAAAAATATTTTTAAATATTCACAGGTGGGAGTGAAATGAGGCTTTACACACCTTCATCTCCCCTTCTTCTATCACCAGCTGCCAGTTTGCATCTCCACCCACATCCTGAAGAGAATAGGTCATGTGATTCTGCACCATCTCCTCCACCTGAGAAAAGAGCAGACAGCGACTCACATTAGAGCCCTTTATTCATCTGCCCACAGGAGGAGATGCTTTGAACCAAGCGGTGAAGACGGACGGCGCACTTTATATTTAGCAATGCTCCATTCAAGATTCATGATTCTCTGTCATGGGGAATCAGTGTATTTGCACCTGTGTACTTTTGAGGTTTCATAACCCCAAATCCAAGACCCATTTCCTTTTCAGAGTCTTAGGAATTCCTAAAACAGCTTTGTTAGCCACTGAGCAGCAACCAAAGAAATACAAGTTACACGTGATGTTTTACAATCCAGCCATGCGAACAAAACCATCCAGATAGCCAGTCTGGGTACATGCCTGCTCATGCTGTAAAAAACAACAAGCGTGTTAATAGGAGATAGAAGAAAAGTTTCACGAATCATGCAGCCGTTATGTAATGAGGAAAAATTAAATACAACCTAGTTAACTGTTTGGTATTTGATTCTATATCTGTGCATTCAAATATACCAAATCGCATGTAAATATTTCAACATATTTCTCAAAGTACTGAAACATTTTGAGAAAATCCCTGAACAATACGTTAGTGGCCATTTTTGTGCTATCAGTTCATGCTCTATCTCACAGGAGTAAAAAGCAGCAGCCGCTTGCATCAGCCTCAAGTTGACCAAGTACGATACCTGAACGCTGAATCTGTGAATGTCGTCTGAAGCGCTGACTAGCTCAGCGGAGGACTGTGAAGAAGAATAGCGGCGGGGCTGAGCAGCAGATGTGTGGTTGAAAGAGAACAGAAGGATGAAAGATAAAGGGACAAAACAGAAAGGAGCCCCACAGCAGCAGATCAAACGATACAATCACACCCTGGAAAATTAGCATCTCGTGTGAAAAAGGAGGCTGGGTGCACCACAGAGTCAGTACAGGAAGACAACCTGCTCACCTTGTTGGCAAATCGATGTGTGCCGATTGTGGAGAAAGCATCACCAGGAGGGACTGGAGTTAGGCGAGGTATTCTGACCTTGTCCGAGTGGCACTGAGGGATGTAGCAGGTTCAATAAAAGATTAAACACAAGGACAATGAGTATTCTGATAGCACGATTGGTTCATTGTCTATACAGAAAGAATTAAAAGAAGCAGAGGAAAGAAAATATCACCTATTTTACTCATGACCATGAAAGATCTTTGCTATCGAGCAGTACCGGTCAGTTTAGATATTTTTCCCACCTGCTCTTCTATCTTGTCTTGTCTGTCTAATTCAGCTTCCACAGCATCAAAAAATTCATCTTCATTGATTAGACTGTTGGGTCCCTCCTGTAAAGAAGCAGCAACAAGTGGCGTCAGGACTGCAGGCGTCCCCGTGGGGACAGCTGTGACCAAAGTATTAGTATGAACCCATTTGGCTTTTCATGTCATCGTACCTCATAGTCTGGGCCCCCATAGTGTGACTTCTTCTTCAGTTCATTCAGAGCAGATCTGTAAGCATCTTCTACCCTCCTCCTCTTCTCCAGTTCCTGCATGCACACACACAAAGTGACTCAGTGTGGGTAGTATCACTGTGTCACTAATTCATTTAATTCATTATCTGCCGACACTCCCTGACAACCTTAAAATAAGATTTAAAAAAATTACAAATAAAAACGTATGTGTATCGATTTCAGATAAACAATGACTTAATATTCAGCTGTGTTAACACTAAAACAAGTTTCTCAAGAGAATTCACAACGAATTCTAGTTGCACAATCAGAAATAAGGTTTGTGTTACTGTCACTGCTAGCAAAGGGATTTACAACTGAAGAAGAATTAAACAACAAACAGTGTTTGATCACTTTTTTTAACCAACAAAATTAAGCAAAGAGGGAAACTGCAGCCAGAGGTATGCCAGAATACAAAACAACCAGTATCTGTAGTGAACATGTACACAGAGGGAGAGCTGACAATGAAGCCTCACAGAGTTCAAAACAAGGTGCACACACACAACAACTGCCACAAAATACGGTGATCCTGTTGTCCGCTAGCTCTACCAGCCACACAGAGACCTACTGTAAAAAGCAGACTGCAGGTCTGTAAAGGTATCCATCTTTGAGTCTGCTGTTTGAGCAGCTCAGTGCGCCGCTGTATTGAAGGCTTCCACAAACTGCACCATGAGGTCCGAGCACTCATAACTCTCTGTAAAAATTAGCGGAGCGTTGTTCCTTTGATCGATTGTTTGGCTCTTATTTTTCTTTCCTGTCCTACATCGGCACCTAAGCTTAAAATTATTGACTAAAGACAGACTCAACTCCCCGAAAGCAGCCTGACTGAGAACACTTCCCGGCTTTTGTGAGTTTTAGGACTTAGGCGGCACGCCTTTACACACAGAGACAGGAGGGAAAAGGAAAAACTGGTTTGACAACACCAACAGAGCTCAAGGAGCAGTAGTGAACCTATGTTTAAAGAAACAGACTACCCCATATACCAGCATATTTGATCAGATTATAAGGTGTCAATCACAAATGATTGCCCACATTTTTGGCATCTATCATTATTATTGTAAACAAACCTTGTACATGCACACACATATCACATTACAGAGTTTACAGGCATTGCCTGCAAACCCCTTTCACTGTCACATGTATATTTAAACTATTAAAATTAAGTCCCTAATGAATAGATTGAACAGCAACTCTTTACTCACACCCACACATAAAACTGCCATTACTCTACAAAAAAAAAGAGAGGGATTGTTATTCCAGTGTAAATCTGCATCTATGCTGTACCTTGTCCAATCTCTTCTGCCAGCTGTCCTCTCGTTTGACCATCAGCTCGATGCAGTGGGACAAGGTGGAGAGGATGCCTGCTGTGGTGGCCTTAAATGTGATTGCTTCTCCCTTAAAGTCTATCCCGTTAATACCTTTGGGACTGGCAGGCGAGAATACTGGCAAAGAGAACAATGATAAAAAAAACAACAAAAACAAAAGAATTTAACAGCTGCCTTGTGGCTTATGGTAAATGAATAATTGATCTTCAAAAACCTTCTCAAATATACTGAAGCGAACTCACGTTTCTCTTTGCTGCCGTTGTTGTTGTGATTGTGTTCACCATCTGGTCTTGTGGTAGGAAATTCATCTTCATCCTCCTCTACTATTAGCAAGAAAACAACATTAATTTTTAGGAATATCTACAATCTCCTTACATTTACCTCTGAATGGAAGCGGTTTGCTTTTCGTTGAATTATGAGTAAGAAAACGTCTAAAGCACTTTTTTCATAATGGTCACAAAAATTGTGATTAACCCATGATTCATTTATCTAAATTTGCGTTAAAAAAAAAGAGGACTTTAAAAGGAACTTCTCCCAACTAATTTGGCTGACATACATAAGGTAAGACACAACTGGTTATAACATCATAACATATAGGAGTAAACGATCATCCATGCTGTGTTACAGAGGACTGCAGCCACATCTTGCCTCTGTCTCTTTGAAATTCATCCTTGGATACAGCATCAGCGCACGAGTCAAAATACTTCTGAAGGGTGTCCACTTGTCTGCACAGAATGTCCCGAAAGGTTTCCATTTCTGCCAGCTTCTCACGCAGCCTGTGCCCCTTCTGAGCAGAAAGAAGGAGGAATGTGATAAGCAAACACCGGACAGAGAATCGACACAAAATGTTTTCAGAGGATCATTTTTGTTGTCTTGGTTTAAGGTCTTAATCTGCTAGTTGTTAGAAAAAATAAGCAGAAAGTATGAATTAATGACATTTGCTGGTATGTGATCTATGTTCGAGCAAAGTATGTTTCCATGGACTGCTAACACATTAAAAAAATAACTGAACTCAGTCACAGGTGGACAATTTTTCCTACCTTGAAGGATGATGTGGATGCGGAAGACAAGGCACTAGCTGCTGATGTGAGAGACAACATGGAACCATGGCGCCTTAAACTGGTCTCTGAACCGTATCCAGACTCGGCCTGGAATCCAGTTCAAAAGTCAAAAGAGAGCACAGCAGGAGAGAAACAGAAGAAGGAAAGAGGGGGGAAATAGACGATTAGACAGTGTGTACAAACTCTGTACAACCTACAACCCAAAAAATAGGAGAGCGAGGAACAATTCAAGCAGAATATTGAAGCATTACTGAAAAATCCCAAAACCCAGCAAACTCAAAAAAATAGTTCAGAAACGGACACACGATTCATAAAAGCAACATCTGACCCCAGCAAAAACTGGGGTCAGGTAAGGAGGGGAATCAAGGCAAATTCAACTTACAACAACAGCAAAGCGATAACACAACTTATTGAGGTTAACAGACACTTGCCAGTTTTCTGTTTCTGTGCTGACCACCACATCATTTTATGTGGAAGAGGCTACCAATGGGGCCTGCTACGTTTTCAATAGGAAACAACAGGGGTATTTTAATCATTCTAATCTAGCCTCTGGAGCCATGGTGTGAAGTCCTCGCTCGAAATTTAAAAACTCATCTACCATCAGACATTTGGGAGTGGCGATGGAGACATTTGTTCAGTTAAGTGTCAAACTTATGCCTGGGCGAGGCCTGGGTTGAGAGAAGTGCCACAATTTTATTACACAATTTGTCTATAAACGCATGCCCAGCCACCCCCAACAAAGCAAAATATCTTTTACTATCACACATGCAGCTGTTGATAGTTAACTAGGACATAGAAAGAGAAGATTCATGAGATTACACAATAGTCTCACAGAAATATGCAAACCTATCCACAAACAGAAAAAAGTCACCAAAAAAAATCTTTTCCATATAAATCAAAACCCTAACATACTGGTGGAGTCCAAAGACTACTATTTTTTTCGGTATTTGGGTTTAGTCATAACTTTGCATTTTAGTTATACATTTTAGAGATCAGAGCAAAGTACAAGTAAGGTGACTATCTTGAGAGCTCCTCTACACAGTCCTCCAAGAGATCCAAAATTAAATGATAAAGAGCTGAGGGGGAAATGGCTCCACACCAAGTACAAAACTTAGAACACAATAAAAGAGCAGAGTACATTTTTTTTTAGCATCCTTCTAACACATATTGAAAAAATAAAAGAAGTAAAATAAGAGTACAAAAATGAAAGCCAATAAAAACAAACAATCGTTCTGTGATGACAAAATATACACAACCACTTTTATATTGAGTGTTTCAAAGCCCAACGTGAAATAATTGTGGGATGGGGGTATCAGAGGCTACAGAGGTGTATCTTGTTTTTCCTGTAGTCTAATTTGAATTCAAAGAAATAAGCTGTGTCAAATGTCACTTTAAACTGACGCTGGTCTAAAACGTGGCTCTGAAACGTGGATGTCTCATTCTGGTAACTGCTCTTCACTTCCCTCCCTTCTCTTCATGTCTGTACTCGTCTTCTTCACTCACATCTATGACAGGAGGAGCTAGGTTTCAAGTTATTTCTTACTTAAGAATTAGATCATGGCTCTTATCCTGTTGGCTGTTAATGGGGCCGCCTTCCACTGATTCAGCTATATTGATCTGTAGTTGTTTTATTTACCCAGGCATGGCTTTTTACGATCAATGACTAAAATATATCTACAGAGGTTGGTAAATAAATCATCTGCATCAATAATGTGTTTATGACATACACTGAATAGAGGGATAGGAGGGATAAGAAGTCCATAGACATTTAGTTTTTAAAAAAAGTTTTAAATGATTATTCACCCTAGCAACCATCTTGGCCCTTTCCTTCACACACAGGCCTGATTTAATGGTGATTGTTCTCTTTATGGTCACAGGCTTGAACAGCATGAATAAATAAACACCTAGTGCTACTGTTGACTTCTTGCTTACTGTTTAAACTGGTATCTAGTTAGGTTGGTTAATAAATGTTTGAAAAAAAAAAAGTTTCTTAAATGTCAACATAACCAGCTAAACACAATGGATTTAATTCAAATTCAGCTCTTATCATGCAATACAATTAGAAACAAGTAAAACCACTTTAACACTTAGAAGTTTTCTGTTTTACTTTAACAACAGTGTTGGGTATTGCAAGATTTACCAAATATTTTTATTCTCTGGTGGGAACTTGAATTATATTAACAGTAATCCAAATATCTTAGACAACCCACTCAGACATTTCATCTATCAGACCCTTTAGCAGTCAAATCTACAGCTGTTAAGAGCAGCTCTGAGATTTCGACCCCACCCCCTCTCTCACACCAAAACGCTGCCTCGCCCTGCTTAATGCAAATTCACCGGATTCAGACACAGCCTCCGTAGAAACGCTCGCTGCCGTCGCCTTAAGCTTTAGTGACCTATTTCTCGTAAACGCTCAATAACTTTTTGTTAATAAAAATAAAGAAAACACCAAGAGAAAAGGTGCAAATTTAAAACAAACTGTCTGTGCATCTGGCTGCTCACACATACACACTACCACTGAGGGAGAACCACAACAAAAGGCTGAAAAAGAAAGAACAACAAATGACACTCAGCATCCACACCACCTTTGCTATATAATCTCGTTCCATTTTCCAGAATGACTATGAATAACTTGAGTTTTAGTGGGCCCCCCTGCACTGAAGTGTTGAAGGCCAACACGTGTGTGTGTGTGTGTGTGTGTGTGTGTGTGTGTGTGTGTGTGTGTG